AATCTCACAGCTCAACTGGTTAAGGATATGCTTTCAATTGGGCGAAGCCGAGGTTCTATCCCCCGGCACGGTCATTCTAAGAGCCTACTCGGCGAGTAGTACTCGCAAGGAGCTGAGGAGGTCTACCGTGGCGCGCGCTGAAGTCGTGAATCAAGGTCGAGAATCAGAATCAGGGTTTGGTACCGGGGGTCCGGACCCCCGGTACAGAATCAAGATTAATCCCCGTGTTAAACTGTGAGCTTGTGCATCATGAGTATGATCCCGGATCATGCTCAAGGTGAGATTGCGATCTTGAATCTGAGCAGCTTTGAGGTTGAGTAAAAGAATCTCGACTCCTGAGAATTAATCTCGAATCACGAGTAAAAATCCCAACTCTGAGTATTTAATCTCGAATTGATGAAATACTCTGACTCAGTATCAAAAACTCTGAATCAGCCATTGAGTATAGATTTGAATCTTGAATCGTGATTAAGGATCAGGAATCGGATTCAGCGGCTGATTAAAATCAAGGATCGAGGATCTTGCTCATGATTACGTAATCTGACTCTGTCTCAAGTACTCATACTCAGAAATCTCGACTCTTTCTCCTGAGCTAAGAATCTGAATCAGTTCTCTCGAATCAAGGTGTGACTTGAATCATGAATCAGGATCAGAGCGTGAGTTGAATCATGGACTCAGATTCATGAATCAGGATCCGCATACGGCCCCAGAGCGGTCTTCCCAACTATCGTCGGAAGATATTCAGCGTAACTTGCACCGTGACGGGGCGATCGCGAAGTCGCGTAGTCTCTGCATTTGAGCAAGGTTTTTCGCAACATGGAAATGAAAGTAGCGGAAGTGACTTTATCTTGTAGTGTTTTCAGCATTTGAGCAAGGTTTTTCGCAACATGGAAATGAAAGTAGCGCAAGTGACTTAATCTTGTAGTGTTTTCATCATTTGAGCAAGGTTTTTCGCAACATGGAAATGAAAGTAGCGCAAGTGACTTAATCTTGTAGTGTTTTCATCATTTGAGCAAGGTTTTTCGCAACATTTCGGAAGTAGCCGGGATCGTAATGATCTGTGGGCTATAGACATTCTGGCCAGGTGGAAAAAATGGGCAAGCTTATGTCTGTCAAACGAGCAACTCAGAGTGTTGCGGGAAACCACATCAACTTGCGGAATGTCATAAAATCCTCGCCTCCAGCACCATATCAACAACGTTGCTCAAAGCGACGTCTGACTACATTTGGGCAATTTGAACAAAAAGTGCTGAACTAGAGGTTGCTGAAATGTGTATCTTCCGTGACCGTGCGAGTGGGTGGCCCGTCATGTGTCGTAGGCCTCGGGTTACGAGGGTGCATCTAAGGGTGCCAGGTCAAGGCAAGCAACTGCTGTGACAGCAGTGCTGTCATAGCTTTCTCGTTGGCTATCACTAAGTATTGTTGGACCGAGAAGTACGGATGAGGCACGATAATAAAATCCTTGTCATGTGGTTGATAATTTCTCAGCGGTGTATTGGCATCACAATAGCACTGTGACGGTGGCAGCGAAGTTCATAGAGGAAATCATGTCAGTGCGTTGTGTTCCAATGTGAAAGGCGTTGCTATTCCCTATTCGACCCCCATAGTTAGTTCTAATGCCACCCGCCGAAGCACATCGCACCTTGAGTCTACTACATCGACTCCACCTTGTCGTTGTTGGGATGCTGCTGATTGCCCAATTGGTACTATCAACGAGATGGGGGCGGCCTCATTGCAAGTGTCACACTTTTCGAGTCGTGGTATCCCTCGTATTTCATCGTGGTGTTCAAACGTAGAGATAGGTATAGGTTCTCGGATTATCGTGTTCGAAAAAATCATCAAAAATCTAGGCTTCACCGTCTCAGGGACACATGGCTGTGGAGCCGCCTCCGGTGCGCTTTTTCACGGCCACGCGCGGGACCGTGGTTATCTTGGTGGATCACATGCTGACGGTTGCTCGAAAAGTGGCGAGAAGTAAACCTTGTGGAGCAATCATATTGCCTTGTTGCCAGGCAGTATGGTGGCTGATCAACGAATTTTACTTATCAGGAGTGATTGTGTCTCAGGACCACTAACCACAGCTTGTGTTTACGTCCTGGCAGCGAGTTGCTGGTTAGCACTACCTGGGTCTACGGTTGGACTTGTACTTTTTTTAATGTGGCGATTCGTATCTTCAGTTTTCAACTACGTCAAAGGTCAAAGCAAAAGAACCTTCGAGACGCGTAATCTGGGAGTACCGTTGAGTAGTCATATCAACATGACAGGTAAATTCTCTATAAACGATGACACCACGTCTTCGAGTGAGACACCCGGCTGGCAAGCAGATGTTTCGAAAATATCTGATCGTCTCTTGGTCGGCTGCAACACTCCGCCGTGTGACGATGGTCCCGGAGTGGATGCTCTTGATTTCTGCAATGCAAGGTAGTATCTCCCCAGTATGTAAAACCATCGCCAATGAGTTCAGGCTCTTGCCGGGGTTCTGGCGCGCATTTGAATTACCACCGTCCGGCCATGCACTCCTGTCTCTCATGGAAATTGTTACTATTGCGAAGGATGCCACGAAGTTCATGTTAGCAGTTCCTGTAGGATGGGATACTCGCCTTTTCGATACAAGCAGGGTGACAGTCATCAGCATTGCAGGTTGCTTTTCACGTGGGAGAAAATCTCAGTCTCGTTGTCGCATAATATCTCTCTCATCATGGTATCATTTTATAGAATACATAACTTTTCGGTGTCATTTCTAATGTTCACTATTTCCACAGGTGAATATCGCGGTGATACTGGGATCCAGTTCAGACTCGTCAGAGGGTCTCGCATTGGTGTGCTGCTGCGTACTGGTTTTGCGGGCGTTGGCTAGAGATGGCCAGGAGGCGTTCTCTATATACGCCTCTCAACGGTAATGCTTTGGTCCGAATGGATGTCGCATTCATATTTCGTTGAGTATAAATAAGGCTATTGGCTGGGTCTCGCACGGTAGTAGCCCGAAGAATCAATATCTGTACGGACCTTGTTTCGAGTCTAGTATATACCACTTCTAGAACTGGGTCTATTCATTGGTCTAACGATATATGCCGATTCACTGACCGTCTTCGCGTGTTATCGCACTGTTGGTTCTTCTTCCCCTCACCTCGTTAAGTGATCTTATTTTATCTCCCGAGAAATTCTCTGAAGAAAAATAATTGACATCCCTAGAATCTATATCTCGCTTATCCATCAGTCATTCTCCGGCTGAGCCGCCGCGCATGACCTGTTATGACTAACTCCAGGTATGTAGAACCGGCGATCCGCCCCGAGGACGTCCTGCACGCGTCATCATTACGGCAGCTCGAGTTGCTGTCCCCGAAGTCTCACTTCCTCAACGAAGAGGAGACAAAACCTCCCCGAGAGTGGGCAGTTGCTTCTATTTCTGTCGTCAATGAACCGGACTGGGTGGAGAACGTTAACGTCAGCATAGTCAACTTGTATGGTGAGAAGAGTTTAGTACTAGAGCGACAAAACTTACTGAGGAATCAACGGAATATGGGAGCAAGTGTATCCTGGAAAGAGGATGAGGCGCCGAAAGTGAAGGGAGAGGTAGTAGTGGAGGCTCGGGAGTTTGAGTTGGTACTGTAGACGAGGAGGAAATAGTGGTTGTTTATTTTCCTAATCTCATTAACACATTCGAGACATGAAAGCACAAATCAAATCCGGCTTTCATGCGATGGAAGGCGATTCTCGCAAGATGAAGGTTTGAAGTCGTGAATCGGAAACTAAGGTTCAAACTCACAAACCTATTTCGACGAAAGCTCGCGTGAAGAAATTTATTTCAATGTCATGAGCTCGAGCTTGGCTTCATGCCCAATGTATGTATGGAGTGCACCTCACACCAACTCGCAGAAATCGATTGCTAATGCGGCTCCACTGAAGTTGTCTATGTTGCAGGGCTCATATTCTCAGAGTATGATCCCTGCAACATAGACCACATAGACAGAATATTATTCTGAGAGTCGAAGTAGTTTTGTTAGGTCTACATTGTCATTGAGAAGTGTATCACCAATCCAGGGGAAGTGCAGGAGCCACGCCTCTTCGGAGCATATGGCTGTTTGTTGCCAGAATCACCCCATTTGCAGAAGATGCTCGCGTCGAGCTCTGATGCGCACTACTTGAATTTGTCGATCGATCAGTGTGATGTGTTCGACTCCCGGTTGGCTAACACAGGTAGTTATGAGTTGTCCACTTGACGCTGTTTTATCGCTGGCATGATCCGTGAATAGATCTTTCTCGTGCCAACATGGTCGCGGTTTTATGGTAAGTGGCATGCGAATGTGATTTTCGAGAGAGTGAACTTCACTCAGTGAAGTCTACTTTCCTCTTGCGGTGTATGTGGGAAGGAGTTTCCGAGACTGTTGGTTCTCAATCATATGTGGAAAGACTCTGCAGGCACGATTCGTGTCGGAATTGAGAGTTATCCATTATGGGGGAATGACGAACAGTCTAGTTGATCGCAAACGCTCTCTTCGGCGCTCAGGTATCGTACTCAGTGTTTTACTGCGTCCAGCAGGCGAGTACACGCCACAGTCCACAGCCGTGTCGTTTCCCCCAAGTCCCGAGGAAATAGGAGATTTCTTACAGTTGCCTTCGCCACAAAGCTCCCAATGATTGTTTCGTGTTTGTTCTTTCATCCTGTCGCGTTGGAAAGTCGTCGAAATTGGGCTCTCAGTGGGTGTGCTTCTCGCAAGTCATGGCTTACTCTGACGATGAGGAAATGTCTGACGAAGGAAATCAGCGGCCGATGGTAGTAATCTCGGGTGTTTGTTTCCCGATGCACTCGCTACCTTGTAGGTCGTCTCAATGATACCAGACACGCTCAACAATCATCAGCTCCGGTGTTGCCTGAGGTAGATCCGTCCCGGAGATAGTGGGAATCAGTGTTGGAATATATGTTCCCTCACTGTCTCGGCTGAGCTCGGGAGTTTCCCCAGTAGTTGTAGAAGTTCACATACGAACTCGAGTAGAAGTGTACAGAAACCAATAAGAATTCTCTGAAATTTCCTCGGAAATGTCACCAGTAGTTGACCATATGTATATTTTTCCTCACTGATGGGAATGGTTTTTAGGTGTCATATTATCCTCTCGGTGTCCCAGTTCGTTCGCCATGGCTGTCCCAACTGTCAAGATATCGATATGGAAGGAGATAAGACTCTTGTGGAGGATTACACCACCAAAAACTTCTCTGGGTATAGCTTTCGTCCATGTGAGCAGTGTCGTGAATGGTATCATTGTTCAGAGGCGTGTCGGTGATGAATCCATCACGGAGCTGGGTGGCTCGTCAGCTGAAATTGAGTAAACCAACGTGGACTACCTTCTTTGTTCGGCCAGCTCTTTGTCAGGCACCTTTTGCGCTGGTATGTACGCAGTTGCCGCTCAGGGAGATGGAGAGGCTCAAGGGTGGGTTACTCCTTCTCAGGGTCTCGTCGTGATAGCTCTACCATTTTAGGGATTATGACGACGAATATGAAGAAGACTATTAACGGGTCACTTTGGTGCACATGGTTCTTGTTGTGTTAAAGTGATTTTCACGTGGTTGATGAAGATTAGTAGTCTTATACCAAATTTTTATCTAAGGACACGCGCCTGATGTTGGGACTCTGTCACAAGACTATATCAGGTAGCCGAACAGCTTTTTTTCGTCCACAATGTTATTCATCGCCCGGCCTTCAACACATCGCCGAGGAGGTTTGATCTGTCTACTAGTCTTGATGAGCGTTTCCCTGGCACTCTTAGTCGGCTGCAGGCCTTATGCATGGTTTGACCGGTCGATAATTGACGGTAAAGCCGAGGCCTGGAGAGAACGGTGGCGTATCGGAGGCGACTCTTTCGAGGTGGCGAGCCAGGATGACACTCCCTGGTGGTCAGATCTTGCAGTTTTTCTCATCGGACTAGCAATCTTCATTTGGTCGCTTCGTATTTCGGCAGTGTCTGAAGGGTTGCACCGAGCACAGTATGCGGTCCCCCCTGAGATCATTGGAAATCCCATGGATGATGGCTTGGGTCAAGATGAGTATTACAGTCACAAAGCGAAACCTATGTGGAGTTCTAATCAGTCGCTTATGGCTTTTTGGCTCCTCTTGGTCATGCCCATCTCACAATCGCTGACTCTACCGTGCCTCGCCAGATTTCTTCCTTCCGGACTTACCATGCATTTCATATTCCTCCTGGCCTGTTGCTGGATATGGTTCCGATCATACAGTGGTTGTTGCTCTGGCGCCGTGCCTGTTCTCTGCGCGCTCGTGTTTTGGCTGGCATTCTCAGTAGTACCTTCAGTACCTTCTCCCCGGAGTCTGTGTATAGCCTTATTCACTGGTGGCAGTATCGGCGTTATAACGCTCCTCACCGTTGAAGCTCTCGGTGTTTGCTGCTCGGGACCACTGCCCGCAGACTATACTCTGCCAGCGCTAGCCGTTTCGGCATTCATCGTTCTCGGACTTGCGGCCGTGACCTTCTACTCATACAACCAAGTTTCACCCCTTCAGCAGTCCATCACTGGCGACAACGGACTTTTAGTTCAAATCGAAGTCTGCTGTACTGTAGCTCTAGACAGTGTCATTGTCCTGGCTTTTGTGATTGCCCTACTTCGTGCTCCTGCATGGGCGCCTCCAGCGGCCACTCCTAACAAGACGGTGAACATTGAGATGGAAGCCGCTCAGTTCGACACGGATTGGACCAGCCACGCCGAAGCGTCATCGGTTGAGTGACTTCATTCCTCAAACACACTTTTGTATCATAAAATGAATTATAGTTGTCTCCGAGGTCCCATGTGTTTGCTGAGTTCAGTCGGGTTGATCGCATGGGTGGTAGTTGTATTAAATGCTGCAGACTCCGCGACGTTCGCAGTCACCGTCGACCTCCTCATCCTCGTCCGATTCGTCCTGCTCTTCGAGTGACGTGGACGTGAGCGCCTTGGGAGCAGCGGCTGCTGCAGCTACCGGTGTTGGTTCTAACAAGGGCAGGAGTATGATCAGCTCCCGAGACATTGAGGATGGGCCTTCAGAGGATGGAGTTGCCGATCAGGAATGGCCAGCGGAAGGGGAGGTGAGGGTGTGGCGAGAGTCTCCCCTTCATGTCGTTGTCTTTCAGTCTGTCGAGCTGTGTGGGCTGACTAGCTTCCCGTGGATGAACGGCGAGTTCGGCACGGTCGTTGGTTACGATATGCAGCACAACAGGTAACCCGCGATCAACTGAGTGGGTAAGCGGCAATGGGATATCATAAGCTAGCTTGAAGGTACGCAATAAAGCTGCAAGACGGTGCCATCAAGTCAGTTCGTCTTTTCAACTTGCGGCAGCCGAAAAACATGGACGTTGAGAACAACTCAGAGGAGGGCGCAGCGCAGCAGGAAGAGGAGGATTTCTCGTGGATGCAGAATTATGGGTTACAAACTAGTCCCCCATCTCCACCCAGTGTGAACTATGGTATTGCCAACGGCCGTAGAGATTCCGGTGGTGATTCATCTACACCGAGTACAGCATCGAAATTTGGCGACTTCGTGCGAGATGAAATGTCCGCCTTGGTTGATCTGGCGAGTGATATTCGGAGTCGCGGGATCTCCGGCGTGATGAAAGACGCTGTTTCAGATGTGAAGGATATTGTATCCAGTCAGGTGAGGCAGACAATGGATCTTGATATGCGTACTTTGTTCCGACAGGTTGGCCCTAGGCTGCCCGCGGGATTCCGAGCACACAGAGAGGAGGAAGAGCCGGTCAGTCGAAGTCGATGGCATCGTTATTTAAGGTGAGCCATAGTAAGTCATGACCCAGCGAGGCACGAAATTGGTGTTTCTCCGCAGGTGGAGACAACCGGGTATACTGACATATTTGATCTTTTTGATATTGTCCCCCACGGTGCCCCGAATCGTCGCCCATAGCGTGACTGCCACAACAATCGGGTAGGTCGGCCGCTCCTTGCCTCTGTTTAGACAGTCCCTATGTTTGCAGATTACTGTTATCATTGTTGCTGGGATGCAACTGCTTGCCCATCCCAAGACTACTCAAGGTTCTCATATTATTATGTTGGATTGTCGGGATCGTTGGCTTGGCTATTTACGATGAGCAATTTGGAGAAGGGCCGACAATCTTATCTTGGATGAGACCAAAACGGTTCACTTGATGATTGAGTATCATATTCAGTGTTAGAGTTTCGTGTTCCTAGTTACACTGAGGTGAAGGTCATCATAAGAATAGCCCATCAGAATATCTCTGGAGAATATCTCGTAAGAATGTCTCACGAGAATATATCCTTCGACGCTCGCCTAGTCACTCTCAAGTACTAGCGAACCCAACAATATGAGAGTGCACACAACACTAGGTGTCAAAATCTGGTACTCACATGTTGGATCTGAAAACTCGGAAGAAATCGTGTGTTCCATACAGCAAGAACGCGACATACTGGGCGGCTTCTGTGAGCTGGCAATATAAGGGGCAGTATATTCCGTGAACTTTCCTTGCCCTCTACGACTCGCAGTGTGTTATCAAGACGCTGTTGCAGCTCGGTTCTGTACCTGAACGAGCATATCGCACAATCATTTATGGAAGGACTCCGTGTTACGATTGCATCTCTCCTCCGAGTTGCATCATAATACTCCTGTGAACGTTTCTCAGAATTTCTCCTCGTCTCGGTGTCGTCGAAGAATTCTCGCAGTCCGTGAGATCGCTCGATCTCCCGTGCTCCAGACTTACACCACTGATCGCGCTTGCCGATCCTACGATACGTTGACCATCTCTACGACCTGGGTGATAGATGAATCTTCAGTTTTTTTGGAAGATTACACACCTCGCAGACCAGGGAAGAGGTTGGGGAGTTCGACGGCCAAATCTGACTTCTCGGGGAGGCTTGGTGTCGCCTAAGTAAGAAATGCAACTCTTTCACTTTCTCTCGAGGCTACTGGCCGCCGGAAGGCCATATCCCTTCTTCGCGAGAACTCCGATCCATGCTCAGGTGAGTTTGGCTGAGGCGGAGGCTGCGCAGAGAAAGTGAATCATGGCGGTCTCAGTCGAAAACTCACCTGCAGCTGCACTCGGTGTTGTATCTTCGGCGGAACTAAAATTTTGTGTATGATTTTCCTGGCGTGTGTAGCCTCGATCGGGAACGGTTGTGTCGCATCTCCGCTGCCTTCCGACTCTTCGCCTTCAAACTGTGGAAACGACGTACGAGGCGAACGAGCAACATCGTTCATAGTCCCTCCGTCACATCAGCGTTTCCGTACAACTCCTGTGAGATATTTATATCGATACCCTGTTCCGCTGATCACAAGAATACTGTAGTATTTTGAGACAGTGATCGGGCATTCCTACTTCCACTTTGTAGTTTCTTCCGTATCTGTCTGGTAATGGCGGTCTGTACTCTTCTTCTCTCGGCCTGAATGATCGTTCACCACTGAACGCGATGGTCGAAGGCTCACCCTCAAACTCTCCTCATTCTCGATGCGTTCTCGTATTACTGATTGCTGTCGCAGCCACTCTCCGCGACGTTTCTCGCGTGCGATCATAGCCTCGTGCCTGGAGTTGGAACTGAATACTTCTACCATGAACGCATTCCAACCTTTTTCGTCTTTCGATACGCTTCTCCATCTTTTGTCTCTTACCTTCCGCCTCACATCTCTCCCGGAGGTTTCGTAAAAACCTGAGGCAAGTCGTCACAGTAGTATCAAATAACAGACTCACTCTGGTTGCTGCTGGTGAGAGTCCACCCGGCAGTCCAGCGGAAGTCGATGAATTTCTGGTGTCCTGTGGATCACAGATGCACCCACTACAATTATTTCGAGAGAGTGGATGACACCGTTGATTTGCAATATTCAAAGCTCATTCTCTTACACTGCGAGCAGCCCTTCGGACTCGGCGAGCAAGCGGGTCATGGGATCGATAGCTGTTTTTGATGCTGCCACCGAAGCTCTACTTGTCGCGGGGTATCTCGAGTATTCGCTCGTTTCGGATGCACAGTGGGTGGTTGTCCTTCCTCGGTGCATTCTGACGGGACTAAACGGGGAGTAGAAATGACGCACCAGACCTGACTGGAGACAGTGGACGGCTATCTCATCTTTTATAGTGTTCACCAGATCTTCTGCGATTTGTAGAGCGTCGATTTTCTGGAACGGCGGCGTCATTCGACATAGTATCAACGGGGTGAAGAGCTCACCCCCAGAAGCCGCTACTAGCACACAAAAGCAGGATTTCCGAGAAAGCAATGATCATGTCGTCACAACAATAGCAAAAACTTGATATCATCATGCCGCGCAAGGTGTAATGGTATCTTCCCTTTCTCATCTGACGCAAGCCTTGCTCGGAGAGTCGATTGCTGGAGTGTTGGCCGGCGCTTACCTTCCAAGTACTTGTCGGCTCCTCGCTCGAGCAACTCCCGTATAACTTCCACAGCAGCAGCGATCCTCCCGTATCCAGCGGCCGAAGTAGCTGACGCTGTAACCGATGCCTACGGGGCGTGAGGTTGTAAGGGTCGAGCTCGTTGAGTCGTACTGCGTGATGGAGGGGTGTGAGGCCGTAGCGGTTTCGAACATCTGGGTCAGCGTTCGCGTCCAGAAGGAAAGACACAATGTCCCGGTTTCCTTGCTGAGCAGCGTAGTGCAACGCAGTGTCGCCGTACCTTCAATGAGCTAGTTGTACTCACCTGCCCGGTCCACCTAGCCCTGGCGTTACTCACGCATTTTGCTGTTTCAAGAGCTCAAATCTACTTTGCTCTCCGGCTTCACGTAGAATTTCACGGACCTGAGGACGGTGACAGTCATTAGTGTCATCACAGGGTCAATTAGATTTCACCTTCTGCTCTTCACCTCTGACACAAGCATACATCAACGGTGAGAAGCTCATCATACCCTGTTCTTCAACCTCGGCTTCTTTTCGTGTGATGAGCTTCTTCTGATTAGAATCAGAAGGCTACAAGTCTTGCAACCTTCTTGCACCTTCAAAGGTCTTGCAGTGCAAGGCCTTTGAAGGTGCTAGGCTGATTCGACTGTTGAACTCACATGTGAATCAGGTAGTTCAAGAGTTGGGCTCCCTAGGGGAGCCGGACTCTTCTTTTCTGTCTCTCGCAGTAACCTAGGAGCAAGGAGCGGCATAATCGGAACCTTAACCGCGTAAGAGACCTTCTTATCTCGGGATCCTTGGAAAGAGAGTAAGGTGTCTTTCCTTTATCAGTAGTTAAATCTCGATCAGCACCGCGCTCTAGTAGTAGCTTCACTATGCTAACATGCCCGAGCTGGAAGGAGCGTATGATAGTGGGCATCATCGAAATCTCGCACTCGTGCTGCATTGTGGAGGGGGGTCTGACCGAAGTCGTTTTGGATATCGAGGTCAGCCTTGTGCGAGATCAGGTCTTTGACAACATCCATCAGACCTGCATTTTGAACGATAAAGATGTCCGATATGGGATCGTTTCTAACAGATCCCATATCAGATTTCTAGATCGTTTCTAGTGTTCACATACCTCCTTGAACGGCATAGTGCAAGGCCGCATCACCGTAGGCGTTCTGAGCATTCACATCGACTCCTTCGCTTCTGAATAATCACTCAGTGGAGGTCAACGTGCCAGTCTAACTTGAGTATTTCTCGAACCAATTCCGCATCTTTCTTCACACAAGCGTACTGCAATCCAGTGTAGGATGCTGAGAAGGAGCTAAACTTTTTCCGCTGGTCTTTGAAAAGCTGTCTCCCAGCATCTCCGGTGCGGGAAGAAGCCTGCTGGCCCAGAGTTCAAAGATAAGAGTGAGATGAAGCGCTGCGCACCGCAGCATCGTTGACGTTCTGTGATTCTGCTACAACTTGCATAGTCTTCCGAGTGAGTTCCGAATTCAGCATGCCTGGTGGCAACGATAGCCCACCACTAAGCGGCCAGCAGCCGACCTTCGGGTGGGAGTCCGCATTTCTTTTTCTTATCCCATAGAGCGCCATAATCTGAGACTCAAATTGCTCTAGTGAGATTGCCGTGCTTCGAATAGCACCTTTCAGCGCCGAGAATATTTCTGGGCTTTTCTTTGCCGCATGATCGATTGGAAATTGACCGAATTTGTTTTGCGCATGAACATCGGCGCTGTTCTGGAGGAGGATCTCAACTATCTCGATGTCCGTGCCTGAAAGTAAGATAGGGCCGGATGCCTCTGGCCTGAACTAATGTCCCGTTACCTTTGCAAGCGTAGTGCAACGCAGTATCGCCGTAGATGTTTTTCATTGTGACCTGGGCTGGGTCAGCTCTCACTATACGCTGACCACAGTTCACTTCTGAGAGCTGCTGAGTCTCAACATACCTTAACGGCAGGCAAATCTCTTCTAGTGCAAGCGTACATCAGATCTGTGAATTCACTAGCCTCAGCACACTCATCCACTGGATCTCGTAGCATGCCACCACCGTAACCTCGAGGCAGCTCAGTTCATCGATTCGAGAATGAGTCCGCTCTGAGGTGCGCGAAGCAGCTCCTATCGCTACCTTGAGCTGCTGATGAGTAACTTTGTGTAGCTGCCTCAATTTCCTTCGTCAGAATCTGAAGTTCATTGAGACTCCATAAGAGCCTACTACGTTCTGACATCAGGGTTCAGCGGCTTCGTCGACTTGATAACTCGTCTCGTTTTCGAATCTTTTGTTAGTTCGATAGCCCGTTTGCCTACGATCGGTTGACACAATTCGACGAATGAGATTCGAGAAATTCAAAGATTTTCAAAGGTCTTCACCTTTGCCACTCCTTTTTTCCGTGTCCGCACCCCAGTGTATCAGGTGAACACACGCGTCTGCATGCCCCATCTGTGCTGCGTGATGTAGCGGGGTCTGGCCGTATTTGTTTTCAATATTCACTGAGGCTCTATGTCTGACAAGGAGGTCTGCCGCAATGATAATTCCACGAATCCACCTCAGCAACGCCAAGATGATTTCGTCGCTGCCGTTAGCCGCAGCGTAATGAAGTGCCGAGTCACCATAAGCGTTTTGGTGGTTGACAGGAACACCCACGGCCAGCAGACCATTCACGGCTTGAGCATCCTGTCAACGGATGTCGTGTTGGCAGATTCCCTGGAATGGTGTCTGACTCGTTTGACGCAGCTATACTGCAACGGGCTGAATTTCGATACGCCCCCGGTGTCGTATTCTTGCTTCAACTTCTCGTTTGGATCATCAGGCGATGAAGGCGGCATCTCCCTGTGCAGGAGAAGGAGCCCAATAAAGGCTCGGTAAGAACACTGCGCTGATTGTACACGGAAACTCAGCTGCTCGAACGAGACGCATGACCATCAATTTTGAAACCTTCTGCTGCCAAACGACCGTGGTCTCGCATACACTTTCTGAAGTCGATAAGCTCTTCTTGGCACTTGCGCCAGTCACGGTCGTTCTCGACGATGCAGTCCTCGAGGTGATTGTAGGACTCAGAACCTGACCATAGGAGCCGCTAGACAGCCATTCATCTAAACTACTCACACAGATCGAGCGGCGAACCATGATCAGGATCACCCCTCATTTCGGAACGATATTTCGGTATCTTTTGAGCAGATAGCTGAAAATGTCCAAAAACGATGGAAGATTCACATCCAGAATCGTGGATTAGCGGTCATTCAGGCGCGAGGTAGGATAGGACAGTTTTCGAGTAATTACAGCACGGAATGATTGATTGTCGAATACTGAACACACTGAGACAGTTTTCTTCCACGCGGCGTTCAACTTTTTCGAATCATCTGACCTATGGATGGATACTCTCGCCAGATCCACCCCGATATCTACATCCAGTCTCGTCAATCTTGTCATCGACATCGGGTGAATCATACAATCCTTGAAGATCTGGTAGAGTCGCGACTGAAGGGTTTTCACTCTCGTTTGCGGAAGGAGTGTTGGTACTCGACATACCTAGGTAGAAATAGGAAAGCTGCAATAGCGGTGACGATTATCACGGATAATGATAATCAGTCGGCCGACACCATAGATTCAAAACTGCACCCCGCTGAACTCAATGGTCATGCAAAGGCTACGAACAACACAACAGAATGGGCTCCTCGATACTGATAGATATTTACGTACGCTTGCGTGTATGAGTAGTAGCGATCAGTCCGTCTGCTGTTTCTTCTTGTACCTACCACGTCGATGAGACGATCCCAAATCCACTGTAGCCCCCACCTTCTCATCATGCTTTCGAGTTGCATGTGCATCTTCGGCTGCCCCTTCTTCGTTCTGGCCGACAATAAACGTCCATGTGCTCGTCTGAGGTTAACTACTGCGGAGGCTCGGGAAGCAAGTTCAGGTTCACCTCGCTTTTGCCGAACGAATTTTCTGGTTTTTTATTTCTATTTCACGTTCTTCGATCTCCTTTTCTCTCCGCTCGCGCTCTAGCAGAGAAATGATATATGGTCCAACGATGACAGCAACATCGATGATTACCTGCTTCCCGCTGTTGGTATTGTCGCTGTTCCTTCTTGAACGGATTCTCTCTAACATCGACACCTTTTCTTTGTTTCGTAGGCTCGGGGGCCGCAGGCATTTCATCTGAAAATTCCCTATGAAATGTACTCTTCTCGTCTCTTGCTCACCCAAAATCTCATCATCCTTCTTATCAGCCTGAAGACCTTCGTCAATCACCTCGTCCTCGGCCATGTTATGTTCTGGCTCGGTTGGCTCCTCAACTACCGGTTTCTCGTCCACAACAACTTTCGTCTCGTGAGTGGACTCAGTGACGCGAGGTTTACCAAAAGGGTTGAACAAACGATCTGATACAAACAGCATTCATCACCATTAAAGAGGGCTCAGGACCACCTTCGTAGTCCTCTCGAGCGGTATTAACACTTTCAGACTTGTCCTCGTGCTGGAGCATGCGATGGTACCTGATGCGGATTTCGATCGCCTGAATCGAAGGGAACAAAGTCCGTGGTACTTCTTCATCTGTTTCGCTTTCCGCTGGAACTTGTGCTGCTTCTCCCTCTTCTTGAACTCATTGTAGCCCGTAGACGGCTTTGATCGAGGAGGTGCCATTCAGCACGGAGCAAAGGATGTCGGAGAATCAACTACGGGGATAAAAACCCAGGGCCTTATATAAACTTCGTCACACTACGGCCGCCGAAAACCCATAGAAAACCCTGTGTGAATGCCAGAGATTCTTCCGTTCTGGTAAATCTATGAGAACAAATGACAGACTAAAGGTATCGAGGCCGGAGGTAATAGAAGCGTCTGATTGGCAAAAGTTCCAGTGAACGGCCTAACCCGAACCTTTTCGTGGGGATAATGGGCTTGCATGCGAGTAGTGAGCAAGATGCGAAGGTCGATAACAGAGAGAGAATCGAGAGAAACCTCCCAGAAGTACGGTATAAATCACGTAGGAATTTCCACTAAACACAACTCTATGAGAGCATCAAATTAAAACAACTAATAAGACTGGCAAAAGATAACAATGGCGGTCACTGCTCCGCGTAAAGTTCTAACGGAGACTCAATGGACGGTCACTATCGGCGATAATTTGTCGCGCGCCACAAAATCCATGGGGACCGAATGTACCGTAGAAAAGCTTTCAACTCAGACTGCACTGCTGTCGCCATTAACACAAGGTAACCACAAAACACTGCCACTCCCAAAACAAGCACGAAAGTACCTAAAAGTTCGCCTCCGAAAACATAGTATGCTGGTGAAGACTCACCTGCTTGTATATTAGCGAGTTGGGAATGCAGGAGATACGCGTTAATGACAATGAGCGAAATCGCGCACGCCCAGCAGATAATCTTGAGCCTCCTTCCAATCACCCAATCCTGAAGGCACTAAGTTCATCTCCACCACTCATTCTGGTGTTTACTACATGTCCCATGACTTTCGGGTCCCCGACGAAATGCAACAACGGCAAGAGCGCGAATGGTAGTTGAACCGACTGGAGAATATTCAGCCAATCGTTGACCGCTGACAGGGAAGCCGCTGACTCCCCAGCGGCACTACTCTGCCAAACGGCTACAAACAAGGCGGGGACCTGAAGGGGATAATTCCTCCATTAAGACAAGTCTTTACATTGTACCAGCGCTATTGACCTCGTCACAAGCAATCGAAGCCAGAGCGGGATGCGCAGTCCCAAGAAACCTTCCATGACGTATTGACCGGCGAGCGAGCCTATGAGGAGGACAGCCACTGATGATTACAAGACAACTCAGTGATCGACCACCGGTCATAGTGCTGGCTTGTCCTGCTGCTAAAACGCCTATTGCGAAGAGAGTGGCTGCGAACTCAGATGAGCCAACTAGCGAAGCGAGAGCCGATCCTCCATTACTAAGACCAATAGCTGTACAGAAACCTGCAAGAAAATGTTCCCGTGATATCCACACTCGATCTCTCACCTTCCTGGCCCATAGAATTCACGCAACTGCAGACAGCTAACTCGCACTCACTGGTGGCCTCTACAGCTGCAGTATTACATCCGAGCGTTCCGGAGGGGTTCGTCGCACAATGTGGAGAGAAGAACCCCTGAATGATGCCTTTACACTAATAGCGGAAAAAGGCTCGAACTCACCTGCGCGAAGCTGGTCATAATCGCTGTATTTATGAAAAATGAAATTGCAAGAGCGACCGCAGCATCCAAGGAGAAATACACATTGGCTTGCTCCAAAGCCCGAGGACTGAATGGGGAAGTTGGGAGAGATCAGCGCAGTAGAGCGAGCACTACTTTCGCCGGTCGATACGGCGCGTCGAGCTTATCAAGGCCGAGTGGAGATAAATGTTATGGGGCATTATAACAGCTCCGACTACTCCGACCATTTGGACAACAGCATATGAAGCCACGGAGGGCAGGAACCCTGAAACCACCAGTGATCAAGTAGAAGAAGAGAATTCTCCAAGCACTGCTTGCAAAAGGATCCAAATTTCGACCAATCCCGTCAACGTAGATGAGCCCCACCAAGAGGTACTACCAAGTGCCACATTGATCGGTTCCGGTTTGACGATGTCCAGGTTGGCAAAGAAGCAAGCGCACATTATCATTATGACCGACACTACAAAACCTTCCAATACTCGAGTCCCATGCAGGTACCTAGGAAAAACAGTAGCAACAAACACCGAAGCGACATCTTGGGAACTCACTGGGCTGCCAAGAATGTGAAAGTATCAGCGGCTGTTATAACACAGCCCATCCAGAGAGGAATGCCAAACAACAGGCGGAAAGCCACTGCGGAACCCAATACTTCCTGCGAGAGGACAATCGTACTCTGTGCGCTCTATTATTCACCCTTTCCTTCATTTCTGATAGTCTTATAGATATACATGCAATTTTCACATAGTTCAAAACCGTATCAACCTCTCAATCTAGTGACAGAGCTGGTGTCGGTGCAACTCTGTTATCACTTCCCTATGAGAGAACGTAGAATTCGAATATATATTCGGCTTCCTCAGCTTAGCTCAGGAGTTTCCGCGCAATTTAGAGAAGTTCACACACGAATTCGAGTAGGAGTGTTTAGATAACAAAATTTTTCACATCAATTTCTGAAATTTATTTCGAAATTTTCATATTGTCACCAATACGTGTAGCTGACTATGTGCATATTTTCCCACGCTCTAAAGGAATTTTTTCAACCGTTTTCAATACGAACGTATTTCCACTCGAATGTCTAATATCAAGGTATCCAAGTTTGTATCCCTAACAAGTTGACAACAACATTTTACAACCAATTTCGGTGAGTACACCAGTTTTTTCAGTGGACCAAAAACAACTCGCAAAAGACCAAAATAGATTACTATCAATCACAGAGCTGAATCGACTCCCAGCGAAACCCCTACCTGAATGTCAGAGCCGATAATAGCAATTTCGGTAAGTATCCACAATATTGTGCCTGTCCGCTGTCCGTACCCTTGACGACCTACAAGTACACCCCAATCCCCAAAGCGAAAGAGTAATCTAATTACAATGCTGAGCAAGACTCTTCCCAGTTACAAAACCGAGCCTAGCGCTGAGACACTGCAGGAGAAGACCGACTGCATGAGCCAGCAGCATGACCCAAGACAATTGAAAACCCGTGTAAACCTAAAACCAAGTAATAATTCGCCTCCGCGACTCGAGAAATGTTGGTTACCCCTGATTGCAAGTCGGCTTCTAGATTGCCCGGATCAAGATACGCTAGAGACATCAACCATCCCGGGCCGGCGTAACGGAAAAACGTACCTTACCAAGATGAGGTAAGACACACATATCCCCATGGTCGCCCGACTGACTATATGAGGCTATACAATGATGTCGCTTCACTTTGAGGGATTCTTGTACTCCCATAATGAGTACAGGAAAGAACCCATTAATGATGGATAGTAAGGATGAGCTAGCGAGCGACTCATGCCCAACTAGCAGGACACTTTATGGAGAGATTTCCCTCTAGTTCTCTGTCTCAATAAGCGCAAAATGCTCATTATGATCCCCGGAGTTTCACTGCAGTCGACCTCTCACGTATTAGATAGCATTGAGACAATCCAACCACAGCGGAACTCATTCGACTTCCCAGCCCCAGTTAGCTCCGCACGCCTCACGCCCACTAGTATTACGCATGCTGAACTTTGTCCGCCGCTTCTCAGAGAGGTCATCCGGTAGGGAGTCCACTGGGCATACCACTACTCTTCCTCGAGCAATATCTTCGTCATCTCCCGAAGATGCAGTACTAGCAGTTGCGGTCGGCAACAACAATGGCTCGTATGGTTCGGACGACCCCATCGATGGTGACAAATATTAAAAACCCTGCCACATCTCAAGTCGGGGGGAATTTTCTCTGGCTGGCAACACAGAAGCTAATTTTCAACTCAATAAATCAATGATATTCTGATAAGCTCTTTAACTCCACGACTAGATCCACAACGACTGCTCGAGGTCTACCCATTGGTTCAAGGGCCAAGGCCAAACTTACACACCAGTACGCAAATTCTGCAGAAGCGCGTGTCTTACTACTAAGTGCGCAACGTACGTGGCTGCCTGAGCCAAAGAAGCTCCCTCAATGTGTCACCAGAATAACAATCCCCTTTCTGCGAAAAGCAAAATGTTCACGTAATTGTGGTACACACCGAGAAAATTTGACGGAATGTAGAAAATGGGTTATCTCTTGGGATATTAGCGGAGCGTTGCGCGAGAGAGATCACCTCTGTAACGGAAGTGGGCGAGTCGGGAACTCACCGCGCAGGGCACGAAATCCCGTCTGTCGTTCTTCAACCTAACACTCTCGAGTTGCAGGAGTTTATGAATTTAATTTTCATCTTCTTGCTCGTCATCATTTGCACATCAGGCAAACCTTGTCCGGGAGAGATCAACCCTCGATCTGCTTACTACCTGATACCAATAACCTCAATAATATTCCATCAGAGGTGACTCATGCACGAATAATATATAAAGGGCAGAAGGAGAACCTTGTCACTCATCTCCTTGTTACATACGCCAGCTTGCCACCCCTCTGCCGGGGTGGCCATACTCGGTGGGGAAACTCCCATATCATCCGAGATGAACCGAGCGTTCTTCACGGAGATGCGAAAGATCAATCGACCTTTATCAGAGCTTATATCATGCAACTCCAGAACATGGAACGGCTTGTTCGTGGTCGAATCGACCTCTGTTGTAAGGCGCTGAAGAACCACTGATATCGGTGAAGCTCTGTCATTCTATCTTCAAAATATCAAAAAACTCGATCCGCCTATAGAAATCCTCTAGTACTGAGCAAACACCTAGAATTCTTATTTCCACACAAAAACGATACGATCAGCGTACTGCTGTGGAAATTTCACAGTGGAACGGTGCCGACATCCATCACTTTTCTCCATGGATGTATGGTTTAACACAACAGGACTCCCTTAAAAATCGACTTCTGGCAGGCGACTTACTCTGGAGATGCGCAAATACCAGAAAGTATGACTATGAATAAAAACGCCCCTCACTGGGCTGATACGTCTATGATACTAATTAACTACGAATCCTCCTTATCCTCTCCGTTCTGGAGCTCTTCCAGAAGCTGCTTCGCGTCGGAACACCTATCACTTCACTGTGATGAATATCGCCGATCGACCAATCGAATTACCACGAACTAGCCTTCTGTAGTTGTTCTATCTGCTGCTCAGTCGTCAGGCCTCCCTCGGGTAAGCCCAAATACTTAATAATGTCGTCCGGAGTCTTCTTGCTCACCCAGGAAGCAATCTACCACGAGCGTGATAACAACAAAGAGACGCTGCATACACCTACTTTAGCACAGCAAAGCAACACCAGTGGACGGACCAACATGTAGTTAGCGGCCAGCATCAAATCGAACACTTCCGTCTGACAACATACGCTCAAGAAAGAACCCTGGGAACGGCAAATTCTACTTCAACGTCTTTGTTCACGAACTCTGCATCCCATTTGCTGACACCATTATCAGTTAGGACCGCCCCTCGACGAAGAGGCTTAGTAATTTGACCTATTAAAAGCAGTCTCGTGTCACTACTAAGATGGAACGGCTCACCAGCGATGCCGTTAGTGTTGTGGTATTCAAGATATTCAACAATACGCTTGAGCTCCCGGCCGTTGACACCAGGGACCGGGAATTCCTAAGACGAAACTGGCGAGTAATTAGAACTAACCGGATCCACCTCGTTGCTCTCCCCACTAGAACCATCCAAGTAGTTAGAGAGCATGTCACACTGCTTCGCAGCCTGAGCTGAGATCTGAACGACTTCATCGTCCTTAGATCGAAGAGAGAGAACACGAGCAGCCATGAAACAGAATGACAAACTTAGACAACCGCACTGTCGTTACGTAAAGCCACCAGTCCAAATCTTGCGTTGTTGATCACCACCGGTGACTGGTCGAGACGAACAGTTCGATAGCTCTAGCTCAGCTCGAACAGAGTGCGCAACAATGCTTGTCAGCGTTATACTAGCCAAGGTAGCGATCACACAATACCCTCGGGGACGCGTATTTTGACTATAAATCCCTATATCGATTGGAATGGCACGCGCTTATTTTCATGGCGTATATGTAAATTCGCGGGTTACGACAGCGAATCAATAACATGTCAAGAACGGCTTACCACCTGCGCAACATCAATACAAAACATCAGTGTAATTTACCCAACTTCGCCAGGGCTTCGACCTGGCTGATCTTAGGTTGATAAGACAGTGGTCGTCTGACAATTGCTCACGGTAGTGAGCTAAGAAGCATGATCAATAATTCTGTTTAAGAATAGTCGGAGAAAAAGACGATTATATTCTCCGTCGAACCGTTCACCACTATCATACAGACGACATACTCGGGTCGACAGAATGATCACTAATCACGACCTCATCTGATGTACTGTACAGTTATCCAACAGAAAACGCAGGGAATTCAGTCCTCATTAATAGTGTACATCGATCAACCTCGGAAAAGCACTGTCTTTGACAACTACATTAATTGCTGTTGGTCGGCTGAAACGATGACTTCCTGCTAGTCACTAGTCGCCTGGGAAGGTAAGGCAAACGCTCTTTCTGCAATATTGACTGCAGTGTAGCTAAACAACGAGCGAGCGTAGTACCATGGAAAAGACAATACCGCTGTTCCCAGTTTAGGAGTTCTTCACCAATTCATGCCGTCTCGCCGATCACTGAAGCGCTCAGTAGCGAATGCCACAACAGCTGTAACTCAGTTAGGAGTATCTTCGGGTGTTGACATTGGAGATATCTTTTCACAGTTCGCTGGAGGATCTGATGGGTACTATTGTGACGCTGAAACGTGGAGTATATTCTGTGTTTGGAGTATGACGATGTTAAAGTTCTTGTGGATAGATATGTTACGCGAATCGGAAGGAAAGTGTCGACTTTCACTACACACTCGTGTTCTAATTCAGTCAGCATATGAATCAAACTAGTATACTTCCCCGAATGAAACTTTCATCATGAGAGGCTTTGCCATCCGAACTCAGAAAGGATTTAATGCTGTATTTTGGTAATGGAAAATTTGCAAATTGGTCGGGATTTACTTTCTTAGAAGACTCGTTGATATGGTTTTCGGTGGTAGCGATGAGAAATTAGGTTAGTAATAGTTCTCAACGAATTGGATGAGTATTCACGATGCTTTCTACGAGCAAACTTCTATTTATTTGAACTTTTTTGAAGCGCAGTTCATGTGAAAACCCTTTCACATGGAACGAAGAAATGTTTGTTATGCGTTATCGAATCAGATATGCCCAGCCTTCTGGTCGAAACGCTGCAGCAACAGTGGCCGTTGTCTACTGTGGACCAGATCCTAGCATAGGGCTGTTGTTTCGGAAATTTGGAAAGAAAGATTCGTTGACGAGAATGAAGGCATATGAGGAGTTGCGAGGCAGAGTTGAAGATAGCGATGGTAGACTTCCACGATTGAAGTATTGCTCATTGAGTCATCAGATGCCAACTCCAGCGCACTGGTGAGTATCTTGGAGCCATTTGCAGCGCATTATATGCGATCGGCTTTGCTGGATCCAGGTAGTACCTATGGTGGTCGTGATACTTCGTCATGTCATTTCGCGTTCATTTCGTGACAGTCGTAGCCGATGAGCCGTTTGATAGTTTAATGAGAAGCTCGTCAATCTAACAGATTTATAAGTAATGGATCTGATATGATACATGCGTAGAAGTTCTTCGCCATATGAGCAGCGTATGATTCAAATATATCGTTTTATCTTCGCCCGAAATGAGGAATCGAGGACGACTACATATTATTTAGTATATAGGGAGCTCCCGTAGAGAGTAGCAAGCGTAGCGACGGCATTTAATTTCCGATAGGAATTAATCGAGAGTTTCCCGTATAAGTTTGACTAGAAATGAGGAAATTTTCCAGTCATACATTTTGAGAATAATCTATATGCATAGGCGCAAGTTCCATCTGGAGTCTGCAGGTTTGCCAACATATGCTTATTCTCAGACTGGCGTTGTCGAGCCGCTTTGCACAACATAGTCGGTCTGTTGGTATCCAAGTTGAAGCGACATGCTGTGCGATATCTACCGGACATTCTGCCTTCACTGTATCTAGCCGGACTGTAATATCACCGGTCAAGAGACGAAGTTCTTTCTTGGCGTTGATCTCCCGGTTTGATTTCCACCCGGTTGATCGTCGTGGTTACGAACTAGAACTCTATAGAGAATTTCGTTGGCATGCAGGTTTGCGATTTATTGTCATCTTGCAGATACGATACGCACATTGAAGTTTGTCGCTCAGCATCTGCAGCATTGGCTGTGATTTTCCCACATCAGAATAAACGGGAAATGGCAATTTACGATAAATTCAGAGATTCTGTTCGGGAGGAGGTACTTAATAGTGGATGAATTTCGTGGCGAGTGACGTTCATCATCCTCAGATTTGGTGGTTGCTATCATCCGAGTGTACGATGCAGGAGTTAGACGAGAGATTCGGTTGCAGTGGTGGCGGCTCTAAGGTTGATGCTAGTGACGAAAGTGAGGAAAGATACGATCGAGCCGTCTGTGCTGCTCTTGCTGCAGTGCCAAAGTAATACGGTGTTGAGTGTCTCTGCCGATAAATTGAATATTTCCGCACCGCTCGTTTTTCGGAATTCTTAAATTCTTCATGGATGCACATATACTCTCCGAATTCCACATTAGCGGATCAACTCACAGACTGATTCCATCTCGGCGAAGATTTGTGTTTTCTCAAGAATAGACTAACTGCGCCGGATGTTTAGTTTCTTGCGTTCAGATTCGCCAAGGTGTGGAATTCGGACGGCAGTTCTGTTGATCCCGCTATTGCTACTATGGATTTCATGAAGTTCGCACTACCTCCATACCGATCATCTGTAATATCACTGTTGGAAAATATATTCGCTTCCCTCAGCTGAGGTTAGGAGTTTCCTCACTAATCATAGGTGTTTACCTACGAATTCGGGTTAGAGTATACAGAAACCAACAAGAATTTCCCTTAATTTCTTTAGAATTTCCATATTGTCGCCAACCGTGTGCAATGTGCATATTCTCCCTCACTGAGAGATACTCGACGGAAATCTAATGCATGGTTCTGCTAGGTACGTACTGCTGCTTTGTCACGCTGCCTCTTGCCGTTGTTTTCGGAGGATATTTTGAGGTCAAAGATTGAGCAAGAGGTGGATGTTGAGAAGATACTCCTGTTGCTGTCGGCCACTCAAGGTGACCTCACAGTTGGCGCTGCGACAGCACAGTTCGTACAGGTGTTGGCTGAGGAGAGGTAATAGATATAGGACGTCATTTCGAGGACAGTTTTGAATTTCAGTGATTTATGCGGAAAACTAGAATCGAGTCGCAAGCTCCGACAAAGGATATGTACGACAGTCGCGAGTGGTAGCAAGATCATCAAGTCGATACCAGCGATTATGCGAGGAATAGCTAGCAGCGATGACAAGGTGAGAAAACACTGTTGTTTCCTTTGAATTTACAATAAAACCTCATGATAAAAATTCACTGAGATAAACGTTGTGACCTATACATGAATCGTGCCAACTTGATTATGATTGGTTCCGTTGACTTTTCCAGTCACGAAGAGGTTCATGACGTAAGTTTCATCGTAGTGTACTTGTGGATGAATTATGTTTGCCGTGCGTTGCCGTCATATATCCTCCTATTGTGACAGGTTGCACTGAAGTGGTCCATTGAGGAGCTGACGCCGAGTATTCTGCGAGCTCTGGGCGCACCGCAACCTGCCCCTCCGCCGAGGGTCGTGTATCAGGTAATAATGGAAGGGCCTGCGCGATTGACGAGGTAGCCCACTTCTTGCCAGGTTTTTTCCGAATGTCTCGGAATTGCCGCTGCGAATAGCAAGTTCTTGGAATACAAGGACGAGATCACCGACTTATTTATAGAGCTTGCTCGGCACTTCATCAATTCGGGTGAGAATCGACTTCCGGTTGGTGCCAACCAGGATCTTGCTTATATTGACGATCAGCAAGAATGGTAGCGTTCGCTGATACAATATACGCTTATGGCGAACCGTAGCGGGTGTTAGTCTCTTAGTCAGTGTTGGAATCTATGTTCACTTTCCTCAGCTGACCTCAATGGATTTCTCACTGATTATAGAAGATCATATACGAATTAGAGCATAAGTGTACAGAAGCCAAGAAAAATATCAAGTTTTCCTCAGAATTCTCATATTGTCACCGACGCATTCTCTCACAGTGCATATTTTCTCACAGTGCTGATGGTAATCTGAACCCGGAGGATTGGGTGGTACCCGAATATGGTACTTTCGTTTGACTTGACTCTCTAGTGATGATGCGTTGCTTTCGCCTCGTGATAGACTGTGCATCAGTGGTTGTAAATCGATAAAGATAGTATCACTTGAAGAGTATTGTTCCACTCGGGACATGCCCTCTCATTTTCAGGTATTGACGACTCTGTCCCACCACCAAGTGCTACTGCTAAGATTCCCGAGGGATTCGGCTTGGCGGTCTCCACAGCTACTGAAGAGATCGCGGATGGAACCTTGTTGGTTGCGGATGAAGAGTTTCACAACTCCCCGAAATTCGCTTCTTTGCTCGCATACTGGCCTCGCTCTGATGTCGTTGTCGACACTCTCTATAGAGAGAACTTGAAGATTCGGAATTGGGAACAGCTGAAAGCGCTCGCCCAGATGATCGATTCGAGAAGACTGGTGGAGGATTTGGTGGCAATTGCGGAATTGCCTGACAGTGTATGGGAAATAGTTTACGAAAAGTTGATCGAAATTGCTGTTGAAGATCGCGCGGCGATTTATGAATGCATTTCGGATAAGTTGCTTGGAAGAAACGAAATCGATCGATTAATCGATGTACGCGAGAAAACGAAGTGGCCTGAAGTTCAATCGGCTTGTATCAGAGACGCACCAATAGACGTACTAGTCGACGCTGTTGAGGTAGAAGCTCCGTGTAGAACCGCGAATAGCAATGGCTTGGTTTCGTTTGATCTATGGTGCGAGAAGATTGCTCCTGCAGGGTATGCCGAGGACCTATTCACAACGGAGGAGTTTTGCGCGAACTGGGGTGGTGGAGATGTCGCGGTAGCTCGGAGTGTCCGGGTGCAAGTCGTACATCGGGCGGTGTCGATCTGTCTCTCTCACAAAGATGACGAACATTCCTTCTGGCTAGATGTTATTGATCGAATCGCTACTTGTGACGCAGAGGCTTGTCGCCTGGCTCGGCCAGATTGCGTCAAAATTCTGGTGGAAGGATTGTTCACGCGAGAAAAGGTCTCAGACTGCTGGCCTCCTTTAGCAGTTCTTTTCGCTTTGGGATGGCAAGACCTTGCAGAATCGCCGGAGCTGCCGAAACTGCATACTATATCCGATGTTAGAGCATCCCTAGTGCTCGAACAGTTGGGTCCGCTAGACGGTGTCGCGCGCCCAGAAATTACACGAGTGGCACTGGAGCTATCACAAGCTCGGGGCGGTAAACTTAGTGGCGAGGTTGAGAAGTTTATCAGCAGTGCGGTATCGTATGAAGATCAAGATATGATATTCTCTGATCTGGTCGACTTGGTGCGAGAAGATGCTTCTGCTGATTATAGTACTTTGGTGTCGCTGTTGTTGACACGACTCAAAAATATTAGCGTTGATCGCCTAGCAGAGGACCTCCTCAGTGAAGCTAGCTTGTTGAGATTAGTTTTGAGGATGAGAAAGGGTGAAGTGACTTCCGAGACTCAAGAGTTGATACGGAAATACTGGCAACCCAAATTGTCTTCGGATTCTCGTCAAGAGGTGACCAATGCGGCGAAGGTCATTGAAGCGTTGGGAGGAGGCAAGATTGATCCCAGTGTTGTTGAGAGGTTTTCGAGTATCCGAGAAGGCGATGATGAAGCAGGGGTTGCGTGCTTGTGGAAAATAGAGGCAAACGGTGAAGCAATTGGCCGAGAAAAAGTTGCACAGATTACAGTGGTGAATGATGATACAGCAGACTTGTTCGTCAGCTATGAGGATCTATTGGAGAAAGCGACACTCAGGCTATCAGCGGTCTCTAGAGTGCCAGAACGCGTACTGTCTCAACTAGCGACCAGAGCCACACCCGAGTGGATCCTGACGATTTTAGATTCACCGATTGATCACCCTAGACCGTTGGTCGATTGTGGCTGTACGCGTTTATGTGCATGAAGTCAGGCGAGATAGATGTGAATCGTCAAACTCGCGAGCTCTTGCAGCGCGGAAGCCTCGAGTTATGGCTATGGGCGCTGCATGTCGATCCTGCAGTCCTCGAGGAAGTGGACACGAGGAGTGTCTACGCTGAAGTAATTTCGATGATTAGGGAGCATCCAATTGACGATTCTACTATTGTCGGGCGAGCGCTCCTTCAACTGGACTTGATAAACTCCGAGTTACTGGGTTGGCGAGTGCTCACGATGCTCTGCATGAGAGGTTTCGAGCCTCTGGATGAAGCGGCGGGTAGATGGTTGCTACCGCAAGTTGGACGAGTGATTTCACCAGTGTTGATTGAGGTTGAGACCGAGGAGAGTCGGAATGTGGATGGTGTAATGGCGCAATACACGGCATCGACAAGAGAGCTTCTGGCCCGGAGAGAAGCTGCTGATGGTTTGAAGACTGAAGTGAGGATCACCTTACCTTCGGATTGGCCGATGGCTAAGGCAAAAGTTCAGGTGAGAGCTCTCGAACTAACTTGTTGGTAATGAGGCCTCTCGTAACTGTGCCATGAGTGCTATTGTTATGTTGGGCGATGGCTATCTTATGTCGGCCTCTTAAATGTATTCCCCCAATTCTAGAACTGTTCTGCCCTATTTTATGGAATACTGTGTGAGTATTTGATCAAGCGGGGGGGGGAGGAATCCAATAAAGTGGTGATGTTTGTAAATCCAGTTTTGATTAGGTATCCCCGATACCAGGAGTACCATCCTCGCGCAACCAAAAGCTAGCATTAGCAGTGCTCCGTGAGATGACCAGAGCAGGCATGGCGCCGGCTTTGAGGATCTGGTCGGCCAATGTCGAGAGAATATTCGATGGTGTTGAACCCTGCGTAATCTGTTATAGTATTGTGAGTATCGACAGCAATAGTCTACCGAACAAGCAGTGCAGAACATGCAAGAATAAGTTCCATAGTGATTGTATCTACCGGTGGTTCAGAACAAGTCAGAAGACGACCTGTCCGCTCTGTCAGAGTCTATTTTAGGGGTGTTGTGTGGGTTTCTCTCTGCTTTAAACATGATTGTGTTCTAAGTTTGGAAATTCTCATGGACATGGAGAATATGTTCTTCGGTCGCAGTGCATGAAGTCCGTTGAAGTTGAGTCTTTGCTTTAGACGAACTATCTGAAGTGCCTCGGGTCGAGCCGTCGCCTCGTCGTACAACTCAATGCGAGATACGGGTTTGGAACCGTTAACCAAAATTCAATCATTCAATCATCTACCTTGTAGTATAACAAAATATTTTTTCACAGTCGTGGCTTTGATTTTCGTAAACATCGATAGAGCATCGGATGTTCTTGTCTCATTGATGACTCGATGCTCAACCCGGGTGCTGATGTCGACGGTTTTTCACATAGACCCGGGATTCAATATTTGTCCGTCTGGTATCGATACAGTCTATACTCGATGGAACGAAAGCGCCCGTTATACAGAAACATGCGATCCAGCTCAAAACTCAAGTTGGGAATCTTTGCCTACGAGCAAGTTACGCTCCGACAATAATAAGATCCCTATTCCAGACATGACTGCCGCTGTGTAAGGCAACCGAAACCACAACCACCACCTGAGACGAGCCAAGTGACATCATTCACGAAGAGAATAATCTCACCGCGGAACTATACTGAACACTCGCGCGCAACAGTCGAAAATTCCCACTCCGAGGAATCCAAGCATGAGATGTGTCAGTGCCTCTCGAGGAAGATCTGAACATTGCACACATCAGATTCGAACACGACATAGGGCAGGACAGTTGCGTAAGAGTGAAAAATTATCAGTACGAAATTAGTATTGGAGCTGAAGAGTTTAGGGACCAAACGTTGGGCAGATACAATTCAAGCTCATCCCTGACATTCCTACGCCGAACTATATAGAGTTACTCCACGAAACACGTGGTAATCCTACCAGTGGCCATTCGGCTGGTCACTACCGCTAAAGCCATCGGGACGGCGGGGAGCCCGAAGCGAAACACGCCGTAAAGCATATTGTATCTGATTGGATACTTGGCCAGGAGTCGTATGCTGGCCCCACTCTGTATTCCGCAATGGAATCGCATATCGAGCCGCCTCGAGGCCCCAGTGAGGAGCTCCAGCTGCAACTAGTAGACACGAGGTGTAGTGAACACAGGAAGATAAGACGTGCCGAGCAACTGCCAGGAAACGATTAATCCACCAAATGGAATCTACCCCGCTTGCTTTCGTCGTCGCTTTTGTCTTGCATCCAATATCGTCCAGTCTTCGTTCGAGTCTTGCTCGAATCCTCTGTCAAAACAGGTATCATGTGTACCGCAAAGGCCTGAAAAGATGAGATGAAACTTCTACCCTCTCCACAGTTGAGACGTCGTAGACTCGTCGTCGGAAACAAACGAACCACGGCATTTTTAACTATGCATTTTCCGACACTTACCGCGCAAAGTAACGGAGTTAGACTCAGTACGCCCCACCACTTCCACGACGTCGGTATCTACTCCAGGGTCGCATAAGGCGACTACCAGCAGAGACAGCCTACCCGGATCCTATCAACATAATCCTTCCTTTTCTGTGCCCACTTCGGCAAGTTCTCAGTCCATGCATCTTTCCAATCGGACTCCACCAATTTCGTCTCCTCTGCGATCAAATTTCTTTTTTTACGCCACCCACACTCACTTACGCCCAATAGGTTTATCTAGTCCGAGCTTCTGCTGTTTCCGCAGCTGCTTTCGAGTGAGATTGGAGAACCCTCTCATCTCGCCGAACGTGGGTAGGATGCTACGTGACGGTACTTGTCCCCAGTGCTTCGTTCGGAGAAGCATTTCTAAATGCACTACATTCCAAGGAGGGAACTTCAACCTTCTTTCCCCGAAGGCTCAATGAGCGCTGTTGTAATAAACCACATTCTGGGTTTCGGCTCCACCATTATTGATTGCGTAATACATTCAGAGATTGTGTGTCAGCTTGGAACTCATCGTGTTGAAACACGGCTCTCCTGTTATCAGAAGTATGTCTCCACTCCTCGCATCCACACTGTCACCAAAATGCCGGTAGAATACGATTCTCCCTAATATGTCCATGGGCACATGCGTATACACCCTGACAATTTCAATTAACAGAGCATCACCGCTGACACCGTCAGCACTACCAGTTGGCACAGACTTAACACAATATGAGCAACATACGTGATAGTGATGTTTATGAAATTCTACGGCTGTTGCAGATTATACAGTATAAGGAAGTGGTTGAACTCTCACTCCGCCGGACCCACGTTGGCCCCGCCCATCTCAATATCTCTCGCTCCGGAGGTGGGATACATAGCTCGACCAATATCGCTCGAGGGAGTACCTTGCAAAGATATATCGAGTTGAATCTCATCGGTGGCGAGATTGTTTTTCGACGCCACCAAAGACTTGATTGGTATTACAATATTGCAAATACGAGTAGCGATATTATCGAAACTAATAATAAGAGCTAGCATGTACATCGTACACGTATAACAACAGAATCCATAAGACGAAATACGAATTCAAACTACGAACGAGCCACACAGGGGATCACGCCCAATTTGACATGTAGTCATGTAAAACACAGAACTCAATGTAAAGTTGACTTTTTGATAGGCATTCCGCTCACGTTCATCTGGCATTTCAGATTTGCTCCGTTTCACACGCCTGCTAGGGAATATCCTCCATCCCGAGGAAGCTGTGCTGGAGGCTGTGCCACGAGAAGGACCGTGATCGACTACCGCGACCGGCGACGCATCACGGACAGGTTCGCTCGAGCAACAACGTTTAGCGAGGAGCGCGCCACAACCACAGCTGAGTAACTACAAGAGAAAAATTTAGAAACCATACCACACCATGAGTACTATGAAAACTCCGCTCGTTTAGTAGTGAAATCGATAGAGTAATTTTTAAACTCGAGTGAATCAATTCCACGTGAACAGATAATTCATCCCAAACCACGATCAGGAGAATAGAGGATCAGAGAACGTCATGCAGACACTTTTATCATAGAACTACTATAATAGAAGCCTCCACGAAAGAAGAGGCACCTTGCCTGATAATATAACGACAAAGATTATTTCAAATACTATCGGGTAATCTATTGCTTCCTCTCCCCACTAGGGTAGCTTACCACAATAGCAATGACAATGTAAATACTGACGTTCATGTTGGGCATTCTCGGACTGAGAGAAGCTTTGATGACGCCAGCCAAGTCCTCCTGTTTCAGGAAGGGGCTTTCGCAGTGTAGACAGCTCGAGGAGCGAGGTTGACTTCGTGCCGGTATGGAAAACGACTTGAGAACAGCACCGCTATCAGAATCGATGAACTCCGTGACAAGGTTTGAACCTGCATGCACAGCTCCCAGGGACTCCATAATTCGCGGAATTACTCGTCGCAAGATGACGCGTGAAGCCATGAACGTTTCCTTGAGACCAAACGAGTTGCTTCTCATCAGGTTTGTAGTTCGTCTGGCGTTTCTTCGACGAAGCTCCCGATACCACGAACGAAAGCGATTCTTCCTGCAGCCACTGCAAATCGTGATCATGCCCCGCGACGTACATATCAACTGAATACCTAAACCACGGCTTGTTGCCGGTCGAAAAAAGACCTGGACCAACTTTACCGTTTGAGCAGAGGTAGAACATCTCGAATCATATTGTCGTTATCACCATGCCAGCCAACGCTATAAACTGGGTGATGACCGAAGACCACGATATACCTACACAGTAAATACAGTGATCCACATCGAAGTGGCATCTTACGTTGCCTCCTGACACTCTTGTGAAGCGAGACGGCCACGTAAGAATCTTAGCTGCCCGTCCTGGTAGAGATCCTGCGTGTCGATGAACACCGCGCATACCGAGACGAGAAGGCCACGGTGGAAAACGGGGGGACTGAAGTAGCGTGCTGGCATCTGCCATCGGGCACTCGGATTGATTCGAGTGCGAATCTGAAGCCTGGCCCTGATGGTCACGCCAGCAGTGAGGCTCCTACAACTTGCGCTAGAGCGTCTTGTCGATAATCATGATTACCAAGGACGGCGTACCACGGAAGGTCATAACCGAAATTCATTTGAGACTCTAACCTGCAAAATACGTACAAAAAATCGCACATGTATATGCACAAGCCGGATCTTCAAGGCCGATTATTTCACACTGAGGCGAAAAAGTTACTAGCACTGATAACTTCGAGTTAGGGCGTTATTCCAAGAGCAAAGCAATGAGATTACTAGGAGTGATAGAGACGCCAATAGAGACGCCAATAGAGACGCCATTTTATCATTGCATCGTACTTATGACAGCTCCAGTAGCGGTTCGGGAGATCGACGAACGTTGAACGTTACTTCGTCATCATCAGGAAACTTACGTATTCTCGAATTGTGGATCGTCCCAATTCGATACACCGTTCTCGTAAAAGTTATCCCCTATTAATGCTATGAACTGCGTTGCTCCTAACCATGGTCGAGTAAGCAAAGTTGATTTGACCTGCGACGAAGTTCGTTCTAATGCCTCACCAAAAAGCTTCTATTTACCGCTTTAGCAGTAGCAGGAAGTCCTCCAGTGACGTCTCCCCAGTCACCAAGCGCCACGAAACCCAACGACTGTTCTTTCACTCCGACGGCTCTTCGATCCTGGCGAGGAGTTAAAACCTAAGTGACGTAGAAATCAGCCGGGATCGACCACCAAAGAAACCTACCACAGTGTGAAGGGTCGTTCCGTCCTCGCCATTGACGAATCGTGTGACGAAAGTGCTGTTGTCCATGGTATGCTCAGTGAAACCATTCACCATACCCCTCGACCATTTAGAACGTTTAGCGTCCGGATCTGATACATACGGGAAGAATTAGCTTGTATGTTGAACGATCACGTCGAATTTCGACTATAGAGATGATGCGAAACTCCTCAGAGTTACGACCCATACGTACTCTTGCCGACTGGTTCCTGTCGACTCCCCGCACCACTAATGATCTGAACGACCGAGTTGCCGCTCTCCGGAGCCCCTCCGTTACTGGTGAGAACCTGACGACTGGAATCACTGCGCTAGATTCACGATTCACTGGAAGATCATTGTTCAACAACAGACTAGCAACCATGTGTACATCAGCAAAACGGGGACCGACCGAGCGCATTCTCACTTGCATATCATGATCATGACCGGATAGGTACGCGTCGACTTTCGCCTTTTCCAATAGCGGGAGTATATTATCTAACACGATTGTCCCGCCACATTCGCGCCAGCATTTCGTATTACCAATAACAGTTTGATTTTTTCCATGATTACCAATGCTATAAGCAGGAACGTGCGACACGGCAACTAGCCAGGTAGCGTTCTGAGCTTCACTCGACAGCAGCGTTCTGAGGCAGAGAGTCTCGGTTATGGTAGATCTCAAAGTGGTCGTTCCAAAAATGCATAACGAAGATGGAACTCACCCTCGCAACCAGCTGAGTTGTTTCTCATCCGTGGTGAATCGCCAAGAGTCAAAGAACACAAAAAACGCATAATTATCCGTATCTTCTCCTTCACCAAAGTCCACTCGAACGCTATACCAATATGCTGGCATTTTCCATGCACCTGTATGTTCACGATAACCCGATTCAACAATGAGCGTTGATGTGAAGCGATCGTTGGAGGATTTCTGTTACGCACAGATTTTTTGAAAGGGCGCACGCTGATATTCGTTTCTTTTCCCGAACAAAATCGTCGTACAAGTAGCGACCGCTACCATGTTCGTCCAATTTCGACATCTTCGGAGTGTTTCTCGACTCAATATTACCTCCAGAATTATAACCATACCGTAAAAGCTGGGCATCAGGATTCTTTCGATAGTCGTGATTCCCCAACGTTACGTACCACGGTACCGAATTGAGAGGAGTTCTCTGCTGGAAGACCTGAATCGGGACGAAACTATCAACCAACCTCGAAACCAACTAGAACTTGCTTCTTCAAATATACGCTGGAATCGATCGTCTTGCCTATCCGTGACTCCATCCTCATAAAAATTGTCACCGAGAGAGGCGACAAACATCACGGGATGATCTGACAAAGTCAGCGAATCCCGTGAGTTTGATATCCACTGTTTTACTCTCACCTTTAACTTTTTTCCCGACGATTGAGTTCATCTGCTCAGCGTTCGCTGAAGCATGAGTAGTATCCTGATCGCCCCAATCCCCAATGCTGAAAAATGTGAACCCCCGGCCGTCTGGAGAGCTTAGCTGACAAAACCAAGTAACCTTGGCTAACGAAGTGAAACCATTATTACTCTCTCCGTCATTCTCCGCAATTCCCCATGAGCTCCCGACTCGGCTACCACTGATGATAAGATAAGAAAAACCAGAGCCACGATGATTGTCATAGTGGCATCGCAGAAAATCTAACAAGCGTTGCACAAGCGTTCGCACTGTAACACAATCAGTTCAGTTGTTGTATTGATACAGCGCAATAACTTCCCAAGTGTAAAAGCAGTAGTATTAGGCATACTATACTATAAGCCTGCATATCTTCAAAGCCAATAGTGCACGATACGCAGCAGCTTCACAATGGTAACGATGAGGGAGATACCCGACGATGGGCGGCAGACCATGCAGGAGTCCACACGATAGCGATATCAACGCCATATAGACCATTTGCAGACGATTACTACTAGAATTACTCATGAGGAGCGGGTTATATCCTACAACTACTCCTAGCCCGCACGTAAATGTGGCACGAAAACAGTGAATAGTGAACCCACGACGAGTCAACGACTGTCGTAGTCGATTCACTCATATTGGTGACAGAGGCGTCGGCAACTTTGATACGGCTGGAAATATACTATTTCCGCTTTCGTGGAATGGCAATGAAAATAATGATAGTATGGGGCCAATCGCCGTATCTAACAAGAACTATCCCATATCGCATCTCGGCGTGTTGAGCCGCACCTAGTCGCTCTGGTTCTTTCGACCACATAGTGGACCAAACAACTTCTCGAAGAAGTTTGACTTATGCCGGCGACCTGGGGAGCATTCGAAAATTGCGTTTCTCTATGAAATTACCTCCACTGTGAGCATTCCCGCCAGTAGTTCGGTCCAACGCGATTCTGAAAAAGCAGAATTTAAATCCAACAGCATCTATTTTGACTACTACCGATCAGCTTGCCGTCCATCCGTATTAAGATGCCCTGTATCTAACAATAAACCGAATACTTACGCACCCAGTAGCGATCCCGATGTGAGAAACAGCAGAACCGCGAGCTGACTGCAGATTTGTTTCACTCGCTTGTGATGTAGAAAAGAAATGGAATGTATAGCGAATATCTTGACGTTGATACAACTTGATGTATATTAAACGAAGTTTGATCGCGTGCCTCTGGAGCTCCCAGTTATTACCCCCCGCCGATGCCATACCAGTGCCGTCTTCTCTGAAATGAGGAGAAGCTAGACATCGAGATGAACGAGTCGAGAGCTCACCTTGTACGCGGTTGTGCCAATCGATGATCCGAACGACGCTTATCAGCCTGAGGAGTGAAAGTCATAGTAGAAGTTGAGGGAAAAATTTGTCAAGAACGAGCTCACTGGAAACGTAATTGCGTCAAAGTGAAATTTCAAGTCGAGTGAAACTACCATGGTATCCTGGTTAATTATCCTCTGCCCGTGGGCCATCCCTCGAGAGTTCCCAGAGTAGATCAACTGTGCCCAGTCGAACATTCCATCATTTTGGAATCCTGACAGGTAAGAATATCAACAAGCACAAGTTCGAACACATCAGAAGACAGGGAAACTACCACGACTAAGGTCGACGAACCAGGCGAAATGACCGGGTAGTAGAAACAAAACTGATCTCGCGCTGTTAAGTATACTACCTTCACGCATGAACAAATCCTTGAACAACCTCCGAAGATATGCATAGTCCGGTCTATCCTCAAACCGTAATGCTCTGCAATAGTTCAGATATGTCGCGAACTCTGCAGGGTAACCTCTCGTCAACACCTGAGCAACGTCAACTCTTCCTGTTCAATCGCTCAACTAGCGTTATGTCACAACCGAGCAGGCAGCGACCTATACTATGGCGTAGACATTCCCAGTAATCAGGGAAGAATCTCGAAGACCCTTTTCCCCAATCCGCAAGCTCCCCATTACTTCAACCGGAGTAGACATTTTCTTTTCCATGATCTTGTGATATTTCTCTTGCTTAGTATTTGCCTTTATACCTTGCCACGGCAGTGAGCCACGATTGAAGTACATGAGGACCTACAAAACCCCCATGCCTCTACCCCGCACAAGTTCGATCCCGCCAGACGTCATTACATATCCTATTGCCTCCAAATCGTCTCTCCTTGATTGTTCGATACCCAGATGAGCATTTATACTGGCGTACCTCGCCGTTCCCGTGAGATTCTTGTTCTCTTTGTACGGGATATGCTGATGGGTTTTCGGATCACGGTACCTCAGTAAATAACCATTTACGTAATGATTGAAAATATTTGGGCAACGGCGAATAGGTCCACATAGGTGCTAACAGAATCCTAGATCCACCACTAATGGACCATCGGAACTGAAGTACAGCCGTTCGATAGAGATCGCCTACTTCTTCGCTAATCCAAAATCAATCAAGAAGACGGTCCCTGCTTTCTTGCCCCGTCCTATCAAAAAGTTATCCGGCTTAATATCACGATGAATGAAGTTCTTCGAATGGAGGTATCTGGTAGCAGTATTTTTCCCTTATCACGCGCGCTAAATTATACTATTACTCGATCCTGTGCAACATTTGATCGCCCAGCATGAGGACAGTTTTCAGACTAAACTTTCTGTTACAAGTATTGAATAAATCCTCCAAGCTAGGCCCAAGCACATCCATTATCAACACGTTGTATTCTCCTTCAACATCACAGTAATGTACCTGTGAAACGGGAAATTGCCAGTGATAAATTCCATCCCATGGTACATTGGCGATTCCCGGACCGCCCTGTAGATGCTTGAGGAGCTTGGCTTCATATAGAAGCTGAGGATGTTTCGACTTCGCACTCTCCAGTTTCGCAGCGACCTAAGATGTGTTTACGACAAGGACTTACACGAGTACTATGAATACCTCTTCTCCTGTCTGAACATTAACAGCGAGGAAGATCTCTCCAAAGGATCCACTGCCAAGTTTTCGACCTGAAAACGCGAAACTTGGCACGACTACGAAATTCGTGATGGAGATTACCCAACGCATACAACCCTCCAACGCGGGTCTCAGCCGGCAACGGGGACTGCGAAGAGCCACGCATAGCTGCTTCCAACTAATGAAAAAACGCGCCGCTACGCGGACTGGATCCTCACAAACTCAACAGGAATACAACAGTGACAGTTGACGAAATGAACTTGCACATGGAAGGCCGGTCGGGGAAATCGCGGCAGAGTCGATGTTATTTGAATAACGATCCCAACAGAGCAATTCGGCACTGTGCGAACCCGGTCTATGCGAATTACACTGTGGAGATAATTCTGTATCACCGGAATAGCCGGAGCGGGTAATTCCCGATGTTGTGCATAACTTCACGGAGTTTTATAATGAATTTACTGGATCGCCCCGTCCGGAGTTATTCACCCAGCGATCACTCCACATCCCTCTTATTGCTGGCGATGTTGGGGGACAAGCTGAAAAACGTTGCTCCTACATCCGAGTAAAATAGACCGTCGACATGAAATCTAGGCGGCACCTGAAGAAACAATAGAAACGTGCCGTGACACCACTAACCTCATCAACTGAACGATGATGAGCCTTCGTATCAGAAACAACGATCAATGTCAATTCGGTCGCCTAGGAAAAAATCTGCATCTCCGTGATGAAGGGGCCACATATCCAAGATTCGTGAATCTAGTCAAGAATACGAACACTGCGGAGAAAGATTTGTCGGAAACCACATATACAAGCACCGAAGTCTCGGACAACCGATGAGCTGCGCGGAACAGATAATCATTGCCGCTACTAAAGACAGCACTATCGGTGGATTATGTAATAGAAACTCGGATCGACTGGCTCCGGACAACCCAGCTTGGTCGGTTCAGTAGTGCGATTCCGGAACTGATACCTACTTTCAGCTCAGTGAGGAACAATTCGCCGAAAAGACCTAATTAGAACAGGATTTGCCTCTTGGGATCATCCAGATCATCCCTTAGATAGACCGAAGTAAATTGCTTGCCACAACCATCGCGTGGTTGTCGTCGTCGAAACGCAAGCTGCAGCTTAAGGAGTTGAAAGTAACCTCATAGCAAGAGTAGCACGTGTGCGATAGGAAACTAATCTATACCCGAGGGACGGTCCTCGACACCTCCAAAGTTCGCAGTTCGAAGTCGAGAATACTGTGACTAGGAAATACTGGAAACTTGAAAGATTTGGCGAAAAAATTCTTCATACAATGAAGAGGAAGAAAATTCAAAATTTTCTTCCGGAAAAGGAAAATTTCCACAACTATCCTCCTTCCTGCAGACTAGGGTCGAGGTCTACTTACAATAAATGAGCTCTTTCACATGAAGGACCAGAGGCCTCGTCCAAAGCATGGTTAGATATCCGAAACGCTAGTAACTACAGTGCTGTACCTGTTCCTCCTCACTCAATAGCTGTTAGGCAAAGTCATGCACGACCCCCACACCGGAAAAACCTAGTGGTGGTAGATCATAGTAAACTCCCACTGTACGATGAAAAATCACCACCATGACGCAACGGGTGTGCGTTATCACTTCAGGGCGTAGCGAGAAATGCTCCGCGACAGTGCGAACCGCATCGTATCATCGTATCATCGTATCCTGGTCGGCGATAATTGACCATCACTCGCGTTTGTCTTCACTTCTTCTCAAGAGAGTAATACTGAGGCCTAATATTCATTTATTCAGTCATGACGCCATCTGACATCGCTAATCAACGCCGCAACTGTCAGGGCGAATACTCTGGCCTTCTCGTATCTTGCCGTCCTGTATTCACGCGCTCCTCCAAGGTGTTTGTTCCTATTAATGGCATCAGCCACAGAGTCCAGCAGCGACGCTTCTGAGAGTTCCGATAAAAGTGGCTGCGAAGTTTACCTTCACGTGTAGTTCTGGGAGGGGAAAATTCACCAGAAATGGAGAAAATCCTTGGTGGAAAGACGGTGAAATGTGTCTCCTGTCGTTTTCATCCATCCTTATACGTACAATCATCGCTGATGTATCTCCAAAAACTGACAGTACAACGATTTCAACTACTGGTCATTCCGTTGCAAACATCCTCAGTGTACACAGAGAGGTATGGCCGCGGCTTCATACGAGACAGTGAGAATTTCCCAGAGCCGTATTGACTCACATCCCAAGTTATAACAGTCTAACTTGTGCAGAACAGTTTCAACTCAGGTACGATCTATCGGAAAACACAAAATGGTTGGCCGATGAGTTTTCCCTGAAGTACAGATATTCATTGTCATACATGCTCCGGTTCACCCCTTTCTCAGGGACTACAACTGCGGTGCTTTCCACACTGGCGTCGAGGTCTACGGAATGGAATACGTGTTCCAGTACTATGCAAACGAGGTGGGCCGCTTACGATCGATGGCGGAAAAGATAATCGCTTGTCAGCCGGACAACAACGAGCTTTCTGGTGTTAGCGCGCAGATACCGAGGACTGATTCGGCTTACGTGTATAGAACCACGGTAGGACATTGGGGTCAGCCCAGGTCACTTGCGGAATACGACGCTCCTATGATCCAATATCGTTCAACCAACATATAGCATTGGTATTAATATGGCCAACGTTATGCGAAGCCGTCGTATTTCATGTCTGTGACCCACATGAACAGGATACAGATTCATGTATCTCAGATCGACATGGGCTGGACGAACTACAGCAACGACGAAGTTCACAGGATAATTTACGAGGAAATGCGGCCTCAGTGGATTCACAACACATACCACATCACAAAAAGGAATTGTGTAAGGATTTCTTGCAGTGTGGCACGCTAAGGTGGAGTTCTTAGGTCCATTTCTCCTCAGCGCTTTGTCGCCGACTGGGCGTCAAAGACGTACCTGACTGGGTTTTCGGAGCAGCTAAGACGGCCGATGCAACACGTGGTATCTCGGCACTCGCTGACGCGGCGTGGCGCGCGGCGAAGTACTGGAATTCCTATTACTATAATGACGATGACGATGGGGAGAGCACTGGCAGAAATGAAGTTGATCCGGAAACTACCACCGTCACTTTCCCTTACCACGTGCAGCAGTGAAAAATTTTCAATTCACCAGTATCTCGTGAAAGAGAACAGAGATTCACCAGCAACAAGAATCCTGTCGTGTTCTTCTTCGAAAATGACAACTCTCAGTATCAAGTTCTGTTGTGTCTCTCTCGAGCGACTAGCAATGGAAGCCCCTTTCTCTCCGGAGCTGTCCAAGACGAAGGCCGCTGAGTCGGAGGAAAAATTGAAGATCTGCTGGCCTATCTTGATCTACATGGTGGTGGTAATACCGCTCGTATTGGTTCTTGTTGGACTTGCGATGGTGTCAGTGTCATCTTCTAGCTGTCTGCTGTGTAGTGAAGATGTTCGTGGGACAAAGACCTATGGTGATCACCTATCTCTGGACTGTAAGGGAACTGGGTATGCGCTCCCATATTGATTCTTCGTTCAAAAATCTATGGCCGACTTGCATATCTTTCGTGTGCTCGGAGGATCCATCAAACGTGTGGGATGCGACAGAAGCTCGTGTTCGTTGCTCCTACGCAGGGTCTCCTGAATGTCGAATGATCTTCCATGTGGAAGTATATGGAGTACTCGGAGTAGTTCCCCAGTTCTGTGCGTTTTCAGGTCGTTCTCTGGTTCATCTCTGGCCTTGGCATCACCGCAGGAGCTCATCGCCTGTGGTCCCATCGTTCTTACAAGGCCGGAATGGTCATGCGAGGAATTTTGATGATCTGTAATAAGTTACATCAATCTGGTTGATGATGTCTCCTTCGCTCAGTTACCAGTATAGCCAATCAAGGCACAGTCCTGAAATGGGTCAGAGATCACAGGGTGCGCTGTGGCGCGTCGCGGGGGGGAGTATCTTACGGTTTCATCAGGTTCACCATTTGTACTCGGATACTCCAGCAGACCCTCACAACTCACAACGCGGCTTCTTCTTCTCACACGTCGGCTGGCTCCTGGTGAGAATGCACGAGTGATGGAAGTGCAGAGTTGTTCAGACTCAAACGCCCGAAAGGGTGTCCGAGTGTCTCAAAAAGATCACCACGAACGATTTGATGAACGATGGTTTCCTGGCGCTGCAGAGCGGTAAAATTCTGACATTGCCGAGATAGGGGTATTTGCTCATTTATTTCAGCTCTGGATCCATGGTGGAATCTTTCCTGGTGCTTCATCGTAATCCGGAATTTCTCATGGTGGGGTGGATACAGTTTTCACTCTCAGTTCCCTACGGTCTTTGCATCGATTTTTTGGGGAGAAACTCTTATGAACGCCTTCCTTCTGGCCGGAGCTTTCCGCTACTGCTTCGTAAGACTTTTCAGGCTTGCGATCCTGATCCTGTCCTAAGGTTCTTCACGCGACTTGGGCGGTGAACTCCGTAGTGCATAGATGGGGCGTTCGACCATATGATCAGTCTGCCTTCACCACAGAGAACCCTTTCGTAAGTAGCAAGAGCGAGCCTGTTATTCCTGATGTGCTATTCTCGGTGAATGATTTGCTATAAATAATACTTGAATTTTTTGTGATTGTCTAACACTAACAGTTTTCTTCTGAGAGGAAACATGGCGGGATATACAGCTACCATATGAGCGCTTCTGCAGGTGGCGTTCTTCGCGTTGGGTGAAGGCTGGCACAACTGGCATCATGCTTTTGAATGGGACTATGCAACTTCGGAGATGGGGGTCTGGCAGCAGTACAATCCCACCAAGGCGTTTATCGACTTCATGTCCGTCAACTCTGCTGTTCACTTTTCAGTGGTTTTTTGATGCTTTTCAGGTGTTGGCTGGGTTTGGCTTGGGGCAGGAGGAGAGCGAATCCGAAGGGCTGGGACCATATGAAGGAGAGGCTTTCACGTAATTGGGAAGGTTGCATCGCTTACTTGTGTCCTCTCGTATAGGGGAGGGGTCGTATATGGAATCCCTCGTGGAAAGTCGGATTGCATAGAGCTCACGTGTATGCTTTGATCCACGTTGTTTTTGTCCGACACGGCTGGAGATATCCCATGAATGATGCAGGTAAGCTCGGACCCTCTTACAAGATTGTCGAAGTCAAGAGAGGTGTGCCGCTGTTCCGCTACAGAGAGACTAAACTCGTTAAGGAGTCTTAATGGCTCAATGGTAACCCATTTTCCACTCTACTATACTAGACTATATTATCGTCGACCGTCGAGTCGTCGTCATGTCGTCAGTGTCCCTTGGTTTCGCCTAGTTCGGTTAAGGTATAACCAGTTTTCACGGAGGTCTGGTTTTTTTCATGGTTGCTGAGTTTCCTCCATCAAAGTGGCTCTGCTTTGCTAATTAACGAGTCGCTCGCACCATCTCACTTTCTTCAAGGACCACTTTTCTGGGTTTAAGACCAAACTGAGCATCATCCCGTGACCTCCGTAGCGAGGCCGTAGCGATTAGATGTTGTTGGTAATGTAGTATTGGCTGTTGTTCTTAAAGGCGTTGAAGAATTATGGTAGCAATTCGATGGGGGCATACACACCGCCCGGAATTCGCAAAGCGGGATTTGTACACGTCTCTCTCAGCAGGGTTTGTCTACTTCTATGAAACTTCGCCCTTGCGTGATGACCCCTCCAACGAGCGGCTCTGAGACGCAGCAAGAGACGGAGTTCATTCCCAGGGCGAGCCCGGAGCGGCTCGACTGGCTCCGGCAATCTTTGCGGAATTGGCGTACGCCAGCGCAAAGAGATTTTATATTCTCCAAGGTTACTGAGGCAGAGTTCTGGGAGCCTATGCAGGTGCCCCAGCTTGGTGTTAACGTTATTTTGAATCATATAGAAGCATTTTCGGAGGAGCAACAGAAGTTGCTGAAGGATCGGTCTCGATATCCCATGCGGCTCCTTGCTGGTGCTCGTAGTAATAGCAGAGCACCCTCGGTGACAGGCTCTGAGAAGAGCCGGGAGACTCGACGTCGGAAGGTTCACAGGATTGGTAGTCTTGTCAGCTCTGGCGGGTACATCACTGTTGGATCAAGTCGGAGGGTTCATACTGGCTCGAAAGAAGAGCGTTCCCGAGGAAGGGCGTTGAAAAGAAAAGTGAGGGAACAGCAGATACAGAAGAAAGCGGAAGAAGCTGCATCGAAGGCGCCTAAGACGACCGAAGGCTCCGTCAAGTCAAGCGTCGAGGCCGAGGGCATGAGTACGCCTGTAAACGTGGATGATGACGAGCCTGCACAGTCGGTTGTAAGGTCACCTGTGGGCAGTCCTAGTCTTGAGGTTGACTATTCTGTTGATTCCCCTGTTCTGGTTTGTCCCACGCTACCACGTGACGAGAGATCCGTCGACCCTCCATCGGTGGAGGAAAAAGACTGTGGGAACTCAACAGAAATGGCAGATGCGCCTCCTGGTGATGAGGATCCGAGAGAAGGTATCTCGGAGAAAAAGCGAGCAGTTCTCGCAAAGAAGTAGTACCGTTTCGTATTCCATTGGGTTGCCGAGCCATTCAACTCGTTACTGCTGCACCGTCGTTATTGATTCATTCATCTTGACGGAGTCTCATCTCAAAGAATAACAAGATTATGGAATAGACGAATAATTCAAGAAAGTCCGACAACTTGGAAATCAGTCATTCCTTATGCTCGCAACAGTGAGACTCGTCTCGTTTTACCGCTTGGTGAAGTATTCGATCGCTTGGTGAAGCTGAGACGTGATAGCATCACTATGATCGCGGTGTCGATCTATGTTTCACAGCCTAGTTTCTGGTGGTTTTTGTCTAGAATACATATGCTTTCACTAGGAATTCATTTCATTTTCTCTCTCCCCGTGTTTGTACTGCGTATGCCATCGTCTCTGTTTCAGGCAAGAACTCCTGCAGAAGCAAATAGATCTGCAGAAACTGATACTTCGACGAAGGCGCGAGAGTTCTCCGCTCGCTCACGCTGTTCAACCACGACCCAAGCCTGCTCTACCTCCACGGGGACCGCCCCGAATCAGAAAGCAAAGGACAAAGGGAGCGAAGGAAAGTGGTGGTGTAAGTCCGGAAGAGGCCTTGAGGCGAGTTCGAGAGTTGAAAAACGCCTCGGGTACTCCCAAAGAGAAAGCTCCTAGTGAGATGTCAGAGTTGGATAAGTTTGAAAAATGTAAAGCAGAGGTGATGGCTAAGAAGAAGCAGGCAAGCGAAGAGAAATTAGCAGCAGCGAAAGCTGAGGAATCCCCGGCGATTAACTTGGGAGAAACACTCGAGGATGGAGGATCGCCCGCTGGCAGTTCGGAGAAAGAAGAAGAGCCGTGGTTTGTGAAAGTGCGGTCATTGCCGCCTAGCAGCCCGGTGGAGGATGAAGTCTCGGCCGCGGAGAGAGAAAAAAAGTTGATCGGGATTGTCTTGCAGGAGCGTTACAAAGGGTCAAGCGGCAACTCGGACATCTTCGGTGATGCTGAAGACTCCGACAAGGAGGACGTTTTCGAAGCGCCGGATGTCACGCCTTCGTCTCCCCAAGCTCCCATCGCTGATGACGATGACCTTGACATGGACGAGAATGAGTTTTTGCGACTTGATTATTCTGACAACTAGTGTAGTGCAAGTGTTTATGGTCATCCGAATGGCCGGTGAGATGTGTACCATTTTTCAAGTAGTATATATTAACGTTAGATACGATTCTGTCGTTCTATTGGGTATTCTTGTATTGTCCATTCCACCGGGGTTGAGTTCCTCAGAGTGGTCACTCGATTCATTTACACACGGATTGAGGATGTAAAGTTCTTTTAAATACTGAAACATACCACTCATCCGGTATAGCTCAGATCTATGTAATTCAGTACTCTGATCTAACTGACCACTGCGGATTGGCCTGTATGGTGACTGTCGAGATTTTCGTTCATTCGATTACGATGCTCTATTTGAATTACTGCCTGACTGTGGATCACGGACCGCCGAATTGCGAACGCTATCACAAAAAAGTTCCCAGTATTTTCAAGGCCGCTGATCGCCTATTACGAACGCTATTACGAAGATCTTCCCGTGATTTTGAAGGAAATGTCATTCCCAGGTTGTTACTGAACAGCTTCCTGCAAAACCCTCACTGCATGAAACATCTATTTTCCATGTTTCGTTGTACTGTAAGACATTCGGGAGCCGACGATCCAGTCATGATCGAATCACTTCACATCGCTATCGACATTTCCTCTGAATGATAGGGGATATTATTTTTTTTGATAATGTTCTGGTATGCGCTTCCTGAAGAATCCATCTCGGATACCATATTGCTCCATTCTTGATCCCCACTGATGGTTGATCATCACGAACCCGGCAGAAGACGAGGAGAAGTCACTTTCTAATGTCGTCCGTATAGTAGCTCACGATTGCCACAGCCGCTGGAGCATCAACACACCCATTAATTACTAACACTACTCTCCATGGTTCCAGTCCCGAAGGAAACGAGTTACACAGAGCGAGTGGCGTAAGTCCATAGCAACCTCATCGCGGGAGCAAACTCATTTACTTCTTGGCCTTCTTCTTGCTAGCCTTGGCGGGCTCAGCGGCAACCTCGACGGTTTTGGCGACGGGGGCAGCGACCTCCTCAGCCTCAACAGCAGAAGCCTTGCCACTGCGCTTCTCTTTCATGGCGCGGGCCTTGGCCTTACGAGCCTCAGTCTGCTCCTCGAGAAGCTTGGCGCGCTCGGTCTCGGCCTTCCTCTTGTGGATGGCTTCGATGAGCACACGCTTGTTCTTGAAGGTGTTACCTAATCACGTGGCATTGGAAGGGCGATATTAAAGTGGGGACATGCTACCCTTAGACTTCATGTAGAAGAAGTGGTAGATGTGCTTGTCAACCTTGCCGGCCTCACGGTACTTCCTCAAGAGACGACGAAGGACGCGCTGACGCCTCATCCACAAGACCTTGGTGGGCATGCGGGCCTCAGCGGTACCCTTACGCTTGCCAGGGCCAGTGTGGCGTCCCTTGCGCTTGGCGAGGAGGTTCTTGCGAACGCGAGAACGAGAATGCATCGCGACCTGCAAAAGGGAAAAATAACAAAGAATTCGGCAATTCAAATAAACTTACGGGCTTTTTCATGATGATGCCATCGTCGAGGAGCTTCCTAACACCCTTACGGGAGTTAGCAGTAGCAACCTCCATGGTCTCATTGGGGTCAATCCAGATGCGGTTCTTACCGCACTTGGCGACAGAAGCCGCCAAACGGCGTTGAAGCTTGAGCATGGACTAAACACGAAGACATCGTTACATAGGTCTCAACGGCTCCTATTTTATCACAGCACACACGGGCAGGTCGCGAACACGAGGCAATCGAGGACGAGACAGCGTGAAGATTCCCCTCCCATACTACCATTTCCTATATATTCCACTCTGTGTGCACCGCTGCCAGGGCGTTGGGCGGACGAGTCGGGATCGTAGCGAACGTGGCGAGCGCGAGATATCGATCATTCGCGAGTTTCGCGCACGCTACTCTAATCGATTGGCTCATTGGGTCGGGTTGTGCACGCCCTAAGCCTGTGAGCGCCACTTTCACACATGCATCACGTCTTGAGATCAGTACTGTCAATCTGGGCCTGTATGGGTATCGAAGCTCTTCTCTCGGTCTCATTGACCATGCCGTTTCGTCGTCTCATCTCGCGTCGTTCTACCTTTCTCACGGGGAGAGTGTCCCCCTTTCATTTTTACAGAAGGTAACGGCTAGGTGATTGCTGTACGTGTGTGGGGAGTGGAACTAATTCAGGTTTTGCTCTGTAGCTGCAGTAGCACAGGAAGCATCTGAATCACAGGCTGCTCCAGCTAGCGCTGTCAAAGTGATGTTCCCGTTTAGAAATTTCGTTTGGTCTGAGTGTCTTTTATGCAGGCTCCGCGACTCCCCACCGATGCAGACACCATTCAAGTGAGATTTCATCGTGGGCGTCGCTTGTTGCATCGTGATGCGCTCTCAGTATGCCAAGCTCAAGATGAAACAGATGCAGGAGGCTGGCAACACTAAGTATATTCCATCGAGTTTTCCGGCAGATCCGACGGACGCCGACTATCTATCATGGTGAGCAGTCGGCTTGGACCTCTAAACCGTTTCATTTGAGGTACAAATCTTTCAAAAAGATCAAGTCTGCCGAGAAGAAACGGAGGGCAACGAGACTTCTGCGACTCTCCCGTTCTATATTCCGACAGCTTGCTACCAAAGCCTTAGATGTTGACGTATGGTTCGGTCTGTCATCATTTATGAGTTCTGTACTGGATTCAGGCTATTTCGGAAAAGTGTCCCGAATTGGGTGAACTGTTGAAGAACCCTCCCTCCATAGCCGGGGACAAAGATACTTCGTCGGCCCGGCATTGGTGAGTTCGAGAGGCATGATTTCAGCGAAACGAGAACAGTCTGTTCCGCAGGGCCTCGCAAATTGAGAAATTACTGGCTGAGAAGGCTTCCTTGTTAGAGGAGCTCGAATTCTCTCTGTCACCGAAAGGCTCAAGGTAATTCGTTGTATTCGTCTGTGACGTTGTTAGCCGGCTTGCAGGGAGTTGATCTCGCTCAAGAGCGTCTCCTCCTTCAAGAGCCTTATTACCTGCGGTGCCTTCGATAACGTTGAGAAAACGCCTGTTGTTACGGAAGGCGACAGGATCGGTGGGTGTCGTCTATCTGTAGAGTTTGAGTGATGACGGATCATTTTTACTCAGTCCACACGCTGGTTCCCGAGCTGAAGGCTGATGAATCCCGGTATTTCAGTATTACTCTCAACGAGGCAGACTCTTTGGAGTCCTGGCTGGTGAAACATGGCGCGGAAAATGTCCCATCAAAAAAGTGAATTGTCGCAGGAGTCTCGTCTTTCGTGGGAGAGGCTTCTGACAGGTTCTCCGTGAGTAGCAGTGTGCGTAATAGTATTTCTAATGGACTCAAGAACGGTCTCCTCGAGTCCCCCAAACCATCCATCATGAGACTGGCTCACTTCGCCATTGAAGATGCAGGTAGGACCTTACCGTCGCCAGGAGTCCTCTGAGTTGTATCTTTGCAGATACCAGCGAGAGTCTCGCTGTTCTGGTATCTGAGTTGAAGCAGAGTCCTGAGCGCCTAGATCAGCTGACCCCGGCGGAGGTTGTGCTCTTGAAGCGACGGATAGCTATCAACAGGATCAAACGAGTGGATAACGTTAAAGATGCTAGGAGGTGAAGCTCTATGAGGTCGATATGTTTGATGGGTAGTTGTTGCTCATTAGCTCGAAAGGCGTGTCGAAGAAGAAGGCCAAAAAGAGTTATGGAGCTATAATTAAGTACGGTTTTCTCGATCGCCCGCGTGAAGATTTAATAAAAGACAAGAACCTGTTGGAGACCCCAGGTGGGTTGCAAGATGGAGTTTGACTCTTAGATAGTGCACCTGTTGCAGAGACTGTGGCCAAGGTCGAGAAGGTTGTGGAGGAGTTGAAGGTTGACCCGGAACGGTATAAGACTCTCACGCCTGAGGAGACGAAGCTACTCACAGACCGCATAGAAGTGAACAAGAATACTTCGGGTGTTGTCAAGAGGATAAGAGAGTAGGAGGAACTGCTAGTATCTAGGTGTCTATCATGTTGCCCAGTTACCTCACGACTATCCGAGGCCAAGAGTCTACTGCCAGCTTATCTGATGCTCAGCTTCTTGACATGAGGGCGGAGTTCGAGGCCACCGTGAGTAGCTCTGACTTACGAGTCCAAGCGTGTCTATTCTTAGGAGCAGTACCGTAATCGGATCAAGGAAATAAAATTACAGCAATCGCAGGCAAAGCGCCAAACCCGTGTGGATAACCTAACCCAGAAGGCAATGACGGTCGCCAAGCAGATGTGGGGCGGTCGGACAGCCCTAAGCTTGGACCGGAACGATTAATCAGGTTTTCTCGAGGGAGGTTAGATTTCGATCCATCGAGTAAATCTGAGGATGAGGTGCTTCAATGGTATCGAGATAGTGTTGCGGCGAAGATAGCGAAGAAGAAGTAAATTTTCAACCGGTGTTAGTGAGATTATCGTACTATTCTCTCAGAGAGGAGGCTGCCGCCTATCGTGCGAAGAAGCAAGTATACTTCTGGGAGAAAGCTCGAACAGAGACCGCTGCGGCGGGCCTTAATTGCGCTTAGCATGATAGTGTGGCCTCTGTTTCGGCAAACACGTTTCCGTGCTCTCATCCATTGTTTGGCACTAAGTCAGTTGAGGTTAACTTTGCGAACACTGTGTTATTGAAACTCGGGAGTGGAAGAGGGAGTTTGAGAAACTGCACGGCATGCAAACGATCAGGCGTAGGTGTGTTTGTACTGAAGCGATGCAAAAAACTCTCGGCAGGTGGAATCCAGGATGAGATTACCAAGCACTTAGCATAATCCTTAGGACATTTAGATCATTCGCTGCACAAATTTCACCTTCCTAGGAACTGGTGATATTCGGTATACACGATGCATCTAGCAAGTTAGCATGCAATGTTCATCCGATGTTACTAGTCACTCCGAGCTTGTAAGGAAAGCATGACGATGATGTGGATGTGGAGAACTCGCCAGTCGATGGCTTCGTTGCACTTGATGGACCATTTTTACTACTGCGAACACCTGTAAGATGCTATACTTGCTTATCAACAATTGTTGTATAAATGTCAAGTGAGGATGAAAAAATTCACCGACTAATAACTTCAGTTTGCTATAGCAGAATGATAACTACAGATTACGATAGGCAAACAGGGGACAGTTCCTGTCGCAGACATGTTGCCGGTGATGACAATCTCATCCAAGTTCCAGATGATGCTCTAGGGGCGCTCCATTCAGAACATTGCTCAGGAGTCCTGAGTCAGTGCAACGTCCACATGGAACTGGGCGGATGTTGGTTCCTCGCGTATGCCGGTTAGCGCCGTATCGTAACGTAAGTTACGTTACGTAACACAATCACTTTAGAGTCTGAAACTAGTTGTGCATACACAATTAACACTAGAATACGAAGTTACTACAACCGAATGACGGATTCGATCACCAGAAATGACATGGGAGCAGCTGTAACGTGATACTATCGATGTAAAATCTCACTGTAGGGAGAACACTAAAGCTTCGCCGACATGGTAACCTCGACCATCGTTGTCACCTATAGTAACTCTGCCGTCTTTAGAATAAGGCTTTTCGGCTACGACGTGTAACATCCATTCACGAGTACCACAGAGGAAAACGTCCCGGTAGGGGCCAAAGAGATGTGTTTCAGTAAGAATCTGACCAGAGACGCGCGTCTCCATGACAGCTATCTTCGCCATCCTATCTACTCGCAGCAACATAGCGCATACATGAGCATTAGTCCCAGGAATAAAGCGAACAGCAGTGGCCCCATGGCTATCAAACTCCTGTGAAGGGTTCATCTCGCTGGAATACTGCAGACAAATCTTCTCTTTATGACTCTCCCCATGGGCAAGATAGAGCAGCACCATTGAGGGAACATACGTGTCTGCGAGATACACATCTTGAAGTTTTATAATTTTGTGTTGCACTTGCATCGTGAACACAGACACTGTAGACTTTACATCGAATGCGATTATCTCACGCATCTCGAACGGCTGAACGAGAAGGTATCTATCAATAGCAAGCATGTCTTTGACACTGCATGACGGATAGATCGGGTTCAGAACGGCACCGTCTGGGAAAGCAACTCTGTATATAATAGTAGAATCGTTCTCTAGAGTGTAATAGAAAATACCACCACAGAAGGAGGCACGCCGAATGGTCTTTCCCCAATCGCCGTCATACCGATCTCGTTTTCCATGGAAATCTTCGGTGTCGAGATCAATGAGAACCCTTGCAACTTGCCCTGGATTCTCCGGCTCGAGTTCGATAACACGAAAACTGCTGAATGACTTCAGCTGTCTAACATAGGCAATAAGCTTGTCATTGGTTTTGTAAAGACCGTCAACGCTGACGCCCGCGGTCCTGCGACGCAATACATACGAGTTGATTGCAATCCAGGGCAATGTATCCCAGAGCACAGCCTTCAAGTCGTCGAAGCCCATACCGATGAGTCGTTGCAGATAGGCGAGCTCCAGCGAGATACGGTTGCGATGGATCACTCGGTTGTTATGATGAGAGGCCATATGTGAAGAGAAGCAACGACGAGAAACCCTATGTAGTTCTTCACCGATCAAATACCGCATGCCGTGGATGAACATTGATCTCACAGAAAAGTTTTGACTAGTCTCAACTTTGGCGCTCGTGCCCGAGGAACTGATGTTGTCTGCAAACAGTAGACTGTCTACTAGACAGAATCTTACGCATCTCTTTTTCGACACGGTTCTACTTGCCTATTTCCCGACATCTTACACGTCTACAGCATATGCCTGAACAATAGCGAATACGACATAACACGGAGGATTCTAATGTTTAACTAGGTATGAACAGCGTCAGAGAGGCATTGCTGATACACACGAACACACGCGCCCGTTAGCTGTGACGGTCAACACAAGTGACGTAACACACCCTGATAGATCCCCTCCCGCCTTGACTACACCTCTTCAATTCGAACTCACCAAATATAAGGACAAGTTGGAAACATATGGAATCTATGGAATCTGACTTCGTGGAATGAAAGGAGTCTCCAGCCAGTGATGAAACGTTAACCAGTGACTTACAATTCACAAGTCTTGTGAATTTCTTAGTACTGGTAATACAATCCTACAAAGAGAGATGATCGAGCTTCAAGCCCTGTTCGGATTTGATCCTCCAACATCTCTGAGCATGCCCTCAATCACTCACGAATCTCACTCTTCGCACAAAGTGTGCAAAATGGAGGGTACTTCAAGTACTCTTTGCACAAACTGTGTGCTCGACATGAGCTCGATGTCATGGTCCTAGACATGAGCTTGCCTGGTAGTTCCCTGTCGGGTAAGCCCCCCTTGCTCCACCGACCCTCTTCTATCCTTCCTAGGTCGTTAATTATCTCTCGTATTAGCATTCCCGAATCAGCTGTTTGGCTTCACTTTCCCCCTCAGTGAGTGAGCTGAATATAACTGGCATCGCCACATGTTCAATGATCCTCCACTTGAGCCGATCCCCCGCGGGATCCCCGATTTCATGTGTAATCTTGATACAGTGGCGTTCGAGAGTAGAACTGTTATCAACGAACTAGCAGGAGATAAGGAGACGTGGGAAGTAGCCGGAATATTGTAAGTGGCTCAGTCAACTACAGCCCCGATATATGGTTACAATCTCTCTCTCAGGCAACGTCAACGCGTCGTCGGTTTGGGCATTCAATGCAATGCCGGTGAACAGGGCATCCACGCCGTAGACACCTAATACATCAGCTATCTATGACACATCGCCTCAGATATCCGTTGCAACTGTCGAGCACGGTGTATTCGTATACATTTTGGCAGATCGCTGGCTCCCTAAAGGACTTTGGCGCTTACTGAGGAATTCAGTAAGCTGGGAACCGCACATAGGGACTGCTTGTTGAGTCTTTCTCGTGTAAGCTACTGATAGAATCCTAGCGTTTCAGAATTGCACCAAGGTCATCTGCAATATCAATCAGCATCTCATACAAAGAGTCTGCGATTGTTTCCGGCTCCCCGACCTCTGGGACGATCTGCATGACATCGGAGACTATAGCGTGCAGTCGGCGGCTCAAGCTTTGGGCTTGAGGGTATTCTGGCCTAAGTGAGTATGTGCTTTCCAAGTTTCTGTGGAAGCAAGAGCCCTCGTCAACTCGTCTTTCTCGACAGCTGCTCAATTCATGAGTCATAAATATATAGCGATTCTTTAGCATTTCCGCTCGTATGGTTTACATCGGATTACTCTTTGTCTCAGATCTAGAGATTTTCACAACTACAGTCAACCGAATTTAGACGCCGGCCACCAGGGGTACTTGGCTGTGAACGCGTTGGTACCTTTACTCGTGGCCGCTGATCGCCAAATACTATGTTTGAATGTACGCTGTGAGTGAATGTCGATCACGTAGAATGTTCATTCGCCAGAGGCAAGATTACTCAAGGATGAGAGATTACTTCGCGATGTATGACATTAATGAAGGATCTCGAGCAGCCGTGCTCGCGCGACAAAGCTTAGCGCGACTGAGGTTAGTGCGACAGAGCTCAGCGCGACACTGGTTACGTAAGGAACCACTTGCATCGGCTACACGAGAGGAGTGTGATGGGCTCATTTGCAGGTAGACAAAATGCAGCCGAGAACGGTGCCTCTGATCACGAGACTCCTGATCACGAGACTCCTGACGACGGGACTCCTGACGACGGGACTCCTGACGACGGGACTCCTGACGACGGGACTCCTGACGACGGGACTCCTGACGACGAGACTACTGACGACGAGACTTCTGGTGAAGAGACTTCTGGTGAAGAGACTTCAGCCGATGAGACTTCTGGTGATGAGGCTCCATCTGAAGTAACTCATGGCGAGATTCAAGAAAGCTTCCAACGGGAGCCACAGATTCCATTCAACGAGATTCTATTCAGGAGTCCCACACGCGACGAGACTCTGCGAAACATGGAAAGCTGAAGGATGCTCATCGGTCCAAGAAACGTCGAAGGAATACTCATGGAGAAGGATCGAGGAAGTGCAGTAGGAAAACTTAGTCCGATAATACTATCAGGTAAGAGGAGAATACACATTTTCAGTCAGAACTAACTACGTTTCGGATTTGATTGGAGTTGTGCAGTTAATGAGCGGGGTATAATCAACAGAGCTAGAGACACGTTCCAGACTTGGACTGTATGAATTCGGGCTCGAGAACCTGATTTATTCCATAAAACCGGAGGTTGCGTCGGCGCAATGTTTTCTGTATCACGTTACGTGATTCACGTAACCACTCTACTTCGTTCAGTCCACGCAACTTATTCGAGTACGTCACTACCGAGGCATCTCACGTTGTATCTGAATCTGACATGTAGCGTTCTGCATGCTACCTTGGGGAATTACCGATGTACTCCCGACTCGTTAGGAGCGTCGCGAACGGTGTGGCCCAGACTGCGAAACAGTTTCGCCGAAACTTACCTACCGTATTTTTCGCCAGGCATTACTACTGTAATGACAGACATTATCTCGGGGTCTACAAATGAACAGGAAAACACAGCGTTGGCGAGCAATAGCACACCATGACACAGCGCACGATGATTCGTCTCCTCGTTCTAAGCCATTTACAATTATGCGGGAGCTTCTTGCCGAGAAGTCTCAGATAGAAATGTATTTCCAACAGTCAGAAAGCGAAAGTCGGAGCATCTGTCGATATGCTCGATAGATGTTCCCTTGATTTGAGGGAGCGAAATAATAAGTGGGGATCGAGAGGCTCAGGTTACATTGCAGAGGTCGCCAGACAAAAGTCCTTGTGCGGTGTTACTTGGCTCAAGGTCGGGTTCTCCCACTGGGAGGACCCACTGGGATGCTCCCAGTGCCGACTCAAGAACGTCGTTATATACTTAAGTTACCCATTGGAAAACGATAGCGATATTGACTACAACGGAGCCACTATCAACATCATAGGCCGATGCCCCGTTGATAATCCCACAACGGGGCACGAGCACTCAACGTTGTGCGCTTGACCGATGCATGTTAGCGGAGCGACCGATGTCCGCATCGAAAGTATCAATATTCGCGAAACGAGACTAGATTCAAGCAAGAGGCCCTCCGATAGGCTTAGTGCAGTAACCCTGAACCTCACCTGAAATATTTGTTAGCCACCAACTGTGTTTTCACAATAGGTTCCCGCAATGGATTCGACCCGAACATCCTACATACTTTTGTCGGAATCATCACAGGAGAGGTGACGTTGGACGCGCATGGACCACCATCATCAAAACGACAGTATGGGTAAAGAACATAGCGGACCTAGTGAAGCTTGATCGGTAAAGAGTTCTCTTCCAGAGCAACTGATCACGCATTTCTTCGTTCCCGGTGGCTTCCAGATCACTCTCAGTGTCCTAGCATTGTGGCAACAGTAGGTGCACGCGTCATTGCTCCATGACGCTCCCGTTTCGTAACGGATCCTGCGACTTGTCAAGCTTTTCTCCTGAGTATCCTGTGGGCATTATCGCTTTTCGTTACTCTGTTGGCTGGGAGAAGCCAACACAAGCATACAGCCAAAACCCGGTGGAATGGACACTTGAGTATCAAGGAACACATTTCTGCTCGAAATGATGCTCTACAAGCATGTTTTGCTGTGAGATCGCACACACTCCCTCCACGTAGCTGCCAATTAACAAAACCAACCCCGGAGTGATGAAATAATCCAGCAGCGTTTAGCCAGTTGACTTCCAATTGGAACACTCGACGGACTTATCGTATATTTTGTCAGTAAACACGTTCGAACTCCAATCAACTGGAGTTCTGTTCGAAGACCGCGAGTCTATTGGTCTGCACGCAAAGGATGGTACCTACGAATCCATACATGCGCCGTAGAGCCAAAGGAATATGTCAAGACACGTACTGAGGTACGAGACCAGGGACCATCTTATCCATTTGCAAGAACTCGGCCTTGGCAGCTTCATTCTGGACGGTCCGGCCTTGAAGGAGTTCATTGAGTGCTTTTCCTGAGAGAAAATCACTCATTCGAAATTCAGGATGAAACAGCGCACAAATAAAGGGTTAAAACACGATAGTATTGACTCACGTTTATCCTGCTCATACGTGTCAAGCTCTTCGGGAGATGTTCCAGAGAATTCTCGAAGGCCCACTAGGAAGTCTTGAACCTGGGTTACGAGGTACTATCATATCGGAGCAGCAGTGAATCCTTTCAAGACTCACACAACGACTGAATTCCTGTGGTGGGCCATTACACTTGGCGAACAATGACAGTACGAAAGCTTCCAGCTCCACCTGACAGGAGAAGAGTCGGTAACCCGAAATATGGCGCGACTCACCCGAGTAGTTGTGTTGAAGGAAGAGGCAAGTACTCCAACCAGAAACTCCATCGTATCTGAACCGGAGGCCGCTTGCCAGTTATGTACTATATCACGCCCCGAGTGTCACAGTTATTTCACTAATGGTGAGACGTCACAACCATGTCCGATTCCCGGACTATTCTCAAGACTTTGATATGCGCTTACGCTCTTTGTTCGGCATATTCGCAGACTGAGAATTCGCAGCAACAGAGACTAGCATCGCCAGGATTTGGACTTGTTGACGAAGTCCCGACTTATGGTGTCGATCGGTCATTACAAGCAGTACCTACGCTTCGTCCCCAGGAGGCCCGCAGGAACAAATGTACCTGTTTCAGTAGGTTCTCGTAATACTCCGAGAAGAACGACTGTGCCAAGTTAGGATTAGCTGCCACCTGTGTTAGGAACCTAAATGGGAACCATCATGAGTTCTAGACGTTTTCCTAGAGTATGCAGAAAACCGCAAATCAACCCTAAGCAGGCTTATGATGTTGCGCTTACTTTGACAGGAGTTTCAGTGCGATATCTGCTATTGTCGGATGCTCGTGTCGAATACCGAAAACCTACCGTAATAACGCGTATGGAAACTCTCCTATTCGAGTGCGCATACCATAGATTCGACGAACAACCGCAAATCCTGACTTGGCAAGAGGAATAATGACTCGAAGCACTTCTCGTTCACCGCACTGAGTAGCTCAAAGAACGCCAGTCGATGATCAGGGAATCTGCAAGAGGAGCGATATATATCCGATTCTGGGAAATTGTATCCTGACGATGTAAAGTCGTCCTTGATCATCCCTAGAGTTGACTCGAACACCTGGTCGAACATCATCGGAAGCATGCCAACCACGGAGCTTGATAGACGAGAACACATTGTTGTGAGTAGATTGAGAACCTTCGAGAGAAATTCTCTGGCGCTAACCTAAGCAGGACTTACTTCGGGGTCTCGTCCTTCCGGTGGAGCTAAATTGTAATCCACTAGAACAGGCTGCAGCATAGGTGGGATGAAGTGAGAGCAAATCAGCACACAGACGTCATCTGACAGCAGAATACTCAGCAACAAGCTAGGAAGTTGAATCAGAATGAGGTGACAGATAAGCCGGGATCTCACGAGTAACGAGAATAACATTATTGGAGTTCGACGAAAATGCACAGCTTACCAGCGAGCTGCATATGAGCAGCTTTCATTCTGTCTTGCTCAGCCACTGCCGAGTCAACGAAGGACCGCACCAACCGCAGCACGTCACGTTTAACCTGGATAAATACATCAATGCTCATAGGAAAAGATGATTTCTCTTACTTTCCGCATAAGTTTCACGTTCTCCCACGAGAATAATGCCGAAGACCCACGGGATGCACCAACACATTGAGAGTAGAGCTTATATACCTGTGGTCAGAGAGAAAACCGATGCATATCGATCGGTGAACAATATTTTAAACGCAATATGCAACGTTCGCCAACTGATCGAGAGAAGGGGATCCACTATTCGACTGCTGTTACCAATAACACGTCACTGTAGATGTCCTTGATCGCCTCTCCGCTGGCAATGCCCACCCCAACAGCCATACGCTCGTAACATCGAAGTATCGCGGATATCGTGCGTATCGCCTGAGGAGACAAGCATATATATTATCATACTTGTGCGATCTTACCTGCTGGTCTTCTGCTAAAATACGTTCGTCACCAAAGGACGCTCGCTTTATCACGGCTTGCCATTTCGACCGTACGTCTGCCATAGTCTGGTTCACCAGGTTAGTCTGTTTCGGAATCTCAGGAATCGCTGAAGTACAAAGCTGTAAGGCAATTGACCACAGCTCTTCTTAGGAATTCTGTGGGCCAAGAATTGAGGTTTAACGACTATCTTATACTCATGAACCTAGCCTGAGTTGGTTCTACCTGATATCATTTTCCCCATGGCCTCGTAGAAATTGCACAACTGCAAGACATCGAGATCAGCGGTCTCTCGCGGTATCGTCTCGATCACCTGCAGAGCACTTTGTGAAATTATGCTTGACAAGTAGTGCGGCACTGACCACGAAATGATTCCCAAACGTCCAGATAAGCGCAGATACATGCAGAGAGAACAGTGCACACCTCAACGGACGACACAGCTTCAACATCCGAAGTAGATCACGAGACTCGAATGACCTCACACAACCCTTCCAAAACTTACTTGATTGACGAATGGCGACGTCTCTCCAGGCTGAAGCACGACCATTTTCTTACTGCATTTCTGACATATTCTCAGGAAGGTGTCTGTAGCCATGTCCTTGACCTGCCAGCGGGCAAGCATCGATCAAACAGGCTCCACTGTTGCACCCACCCCAGGGAAGGGCTCATGCATGAATTCGAACAGCTTGTTGACTACACTCTTGAGGAACCTCCAATGCGCTTTCAGGAACCGCGGATACTGTCCAACGACGTACCTGGACGAAGGCTAACCTACCCGAGGCGTCACGAAAGATACTAATTTTCAACTTATGAATTGGGCGGAGTTCGAGACAATGGAAAATCGAACGTACATCAGACAGGACGCCACCATGGCTTTGTTCTCAACTCCCCTCTTCACTTCGCAAAGAGTGAGCAAATCTCTGATAACATTGACCTGAGCGGGAATGATTGTGTCACAACCGTGAGAAACTGAACACTTACGATGAATCTTTTCTCATCATTTTCTGGCATCGCCCCTGATATCGATCCCACTGACCTGAAAAAAACATCGAGAACGTCTTCGCAGCGGAGTTGATCTCACCAACACAGACGACTGAGCAAACCACAGTTCCAGTCTGAGGGAGACTCGCTATTCCTATGTTCAGCGGTGATCTGATTGGTACCGAACCTGACAGCAACAACATGTTCAAAGAACTGGGAAGCAACGGCTCACTCGCTGAGGATGTCCATCATGATATTAACCATGTTGCTAGGATCCAGATGTGTAAGATAAATTAGACATTCTCGCATCATACGATACATAGCTAGCTCATCGGTATCCACTTCTCCTTCTCGCACCTATAGCATGACAGTCTGCTAATAACTTGACAAGGTTTAGGGAAGGGAGGTACTGATCATTGAGCAACAGGCACTTGAGTGCAAAAGTAGTATGCATACAAAATGCTCGTTGTTTGACAAGCCATAGCACCACCGTTTAACGAGGTCCCGATTGCATTCAGAAAACTATTTTGATATTCTGATTTTAAAAACCGTGAGAATAGAACGACATTGAGGTACGAAATCTGTAGACCAGTCAGCACTGCTAAAGAATCAATGAAAGGTCCCACTGAGATGAGTCGCATCGAATAAGACCGTCCCCAGATAAGCAAAGTCTAGACAATCGTTGCGGAACAACTATGAAGGTATAGAAATTGATAGCGAAGGCGATTCCGAGATGGAGGTTTGAGCTCTCACTGTGAGAGTCTAACATCCAACACCTTACAATCTCGCCATCCTCATTCTCCTTGATGGTCACCTCGGGAGGCTTCGCCATTCTCATGATCATCACTCGCCGAACCTGCGATGATACGATACAGCTAAGAAGAGATTAGTCTATACAATAGTTACGTTATCGAGTATTGGCTGATACTTAGCGATGATCTCCTCTTCATGGCCACCACCAGTAGCTTTAACATCGACGGACATATCAGTAGACCCGCTCAAGCTGAAAGACATGGCAGGGTTGCGCACTCAAGTTTAGATCCACATTCGTATATTCCATCGAAAACAACATCAATGACGATTCCTCGCGGATTTTGACGGCGGAGAGCGATGTTCAAAATTATCAACAAACCCTCACAAATGAATGCTGGTTTCCTCATATCGATTATCCAAAATCCCCGGGGAACACGGAGCTCACCTCAGCATAAGTGGCGGCTGCTGCTGCTGACCTCCACCCATATTTTGCTTCTGACTCTGCTCCTTCCGGGCTTTCTCTCGATCGAGATATCTGGTAGTTCCCATCAGCGAATCCAACTCCAAGCAGCGATCTTACAGTTGAGCAGCGAACATCTGCCAGAACTCTACACATATCTTGAATATTTCATCGTTCGGTAAGGCCGAAATTTTCGCCAACGTGGCAAGAGCCGGACCTGTAATCTCGTATGCCTGACCACAGCCATGTCCGGCATTGGTTCATCCGAGCTCAGAACACTTACTCCGACTACTGCCTTCATATTGTAGCGAATGAAGTTTGTGAGAAGAAGCGATAACTGAAGACCACAAGGATCAACGAGAGAAGTCGCAGCGATGATGAAATCGAGAATAACGGTGCAGATTTAACACTATCACCATGATGGCCACACCACTTTTGCCAAGAGATTCTTATCGCAGTTTCGTTACAGTTGGCAGAGAATACATGAGTTAAGATACGATTTCTCGTTCACTGTGAACACTGCTAACTCAGCCCCTTATTGAGTAGTAACCAACTCGACGAGCTAAGCGCGACAATGAACTCACCTGGTTCATGAACACTTCCCAGAATATCCTATTTTGTCCACGAAGACCTTCAAAGCTCTGGAACACTTCTACTGGGATACTATGCAGTTTATTAACGACAGCAGCGAAGCACTGCAACAGGGTGGGTTCGTATCTGCGTAAGTAGATTATAAGCAGGACACGAGTCGTATTTTCCACTCGAGGTCAGAGGACTCCACCCAAGGTTCATAGTTTGCCTCACTTTCCGGAATCAGGATCGTCGCCGATTTTCAAACAGCCGACTTCATTGAGGCATCGAGCACACTCTATTCGAAAGCAGAGGGGGTCCCAAAAATGGCCAAGCAGCGTGGGGAGGATATCCGTCTCGAACACCTAAGATGGTTATTCATGAATCATGCTCAATGAACTCTGAAGGAAAAGGTCGTTGCGGCCTGCTTACATAGCCCAGCGGTATCCATTTCAGGAAGTGAGATAGAGTATTGAGGGTTGTCTTGATCAGACCTTCTCTTACTGAGCTCTTATCGGCGACATAGCTTTTGAGCAGGAACATGCCTGTCGGGAGCTATTTATAGGTGAACAGTCACCGTGAAAATCAGTACAAAGATCGAATATGCAAGCAAATTGTGAACTCATCGTTTGCTTCATCTTCAAGACTCGGCTCGACGTCATCGTCTCCGGGCCAAAATCGAATACCTGATCATCACCAGAAGTCACACAGGTCACACATCTTAACGACGCAGTAGATTAGCGGAACGCCGCGGAGGGATCCACGCAGTTGGAGATTATGAATCGCCTCGAGTTGCAAACACAATGATGGCCCCACCTCTTCCGATAGCATCTGGAGAATCTTCAGATTGTTCTCACAGAGATTCTGAGAGCTCTTGGCAGAAGTACCTAGCATCTACCGTGAGGGCTCGGACAAGGAGGAGTACGCAAGCTTACACAAGTCTGGTATGAAGGATTCCCATGCATTCAGTCGCCACTCCTGAGAACAAATATCCCGCAGAAACCAAAGTAAGTAATACTACCTGCTTCACTAAACACACTAGAGTCTCGTTCAATTTCATGAGGAAATGACGAGTATTTTGATCGGCATCTCGTTGGGCCAGCTCGATATTCAGCGACACTACATACGACTTGATGCCTTCCTGACAGGACAAACGCTGTCAAATTCGAACAGTGAAGTAATCAGAGAGAGAATAGGAGGGGTCTACACGGGAGCACTCGTAACCTGCGGACAACCGACACGCTGAAGATTACAAGATTCGGAAGATATCATAAGCACACTGGTAGCGATCACATTGGGCATGGAATCCTTGATGTAACCGAACCTACTTGATTCTCCTTTTCTATCGTATTCCACCGTGTATTGATAGCTTCCTTCAATATCTGCAGCGCCTAAGAAAACAATACAACTTTGCCAGGCGCTCTGTGGATTATAGCCAGCAGATAG